GGTATACTAGAGTTATATTCATGGTATTAAAGTAGCTTCACTAGTTTGCCTTAGTCGGATGTGAGGTCTTCCCATCTACATGATGTTAATTCGGTGTTGCTACTGTCGTCGTACTTGAGTAGCCGATTGTATCTTTCGAAGGTATGCACATCTTCAAACTGGTAAAGTTAAGGCCTTGAGAAACATGTTGTGATGGGTGAGTTATGTACAAACTAGTAGAGCAACAAGAGGAGGTCACGAGGTGCACCGACCATACTCGTGTGAATGTATTCTCAGAATATGAGGCTATCGGATCACGAAGGCATGGCAGATTTATAGAATGATATTAGGGTGGAATCCAAATATAAAATTAAATATGGCTACTTCATCAGACACAAACTCGCATTGTTCAGGAAAAGATGTAACTTGATTCTTGAATAGTCCTAGCACTCATTTATATGTTCACATTGTTCTTTTCACTGGACATAGAAGGTTCATAGCCATATTCACTACGTATTTATCAGTGAGTACAACAGCATACTACTAGTTCTGAATGTACTATACATGGGCCTGCAAAGCTGAAGCGGTCGCTCGATGAACACATCAAATAATACTTCTAGTGTAGCGGATCCTTTTGCTCTTCGACCTGCCCTGGAGCCATATACTCCACAGGCCTGCCATCAGTCATTACAACTTGACGAGGGAACCCCCTTACTAGTATACTCCCTATGTTCTTCATAACTCACATAAGCCTATTTTGTGAGGAAGGTAGCAGCGGCCTTTATGAGGCGGTAATCAGCCGAATAGATACTCCTTGTGTCACGAGTACCGTCCGAAAACCATCTTCCACTTCAATGGCCGGTAAATAGTCAAAAGAAAAGAGGAATCAAGCCAATGTCGATACATCACAAATCAGTGCTCCGTTCAGTTTATGATAATTTCGCTTGGCTTCGTAGGTGGAATGGTCTTGATAAGAAATAAATCATACAAACGATTTCATTAGCAGGACCGGAGAAGAAGGTTTCAGAAACCATGAATAAAGGCACACATTTCTATACCGAGTAGACAAGCAGAAACAAATAAACAACTTCAAGGTTTCATTAAGTACAAGACTTGAGAACAGGATTCGGATGTAAGTGATCTTCCCCGGCTAGTAATGCTGGGCACGAAGGCTGATAGCCAGAATAATTGGCCCTAATTCCCGCATGGCTGCGGAGCTATGGGTGCTCCAAGGGCCGAACTGGTGGATAGTTATGAAAGGGTTATTTTGAACTTTTCCAGTTTCGAGATAGACAATGTAGTTGTCGTCGTATTTAGCCACAGAGATGTAGATCTCCTGTCTACCTTGGGATATAATTATGCGGCTGTTGTTTATGAGAATCATTGATGGAAAGAAAACATCTCGTAAATTCTCCCTTACGGCTAATTCCGGCGTGCAGGAAATGATGACTTGTAGTCGGTAAGCAACCCGGCTACCATTTGGTGGCTCCAGACCCAGTGCGGGGCAACCCAATCAGTTTTTGTGTCGGCGAAGTTTACCACCAGCCGAGATCCGGCTTTAGCTCATACCCCTTCCTTTTGTATAACGCGGACTGGCTGCGAACACACAAGTCTCCCAGTCCTCTGCTAACCCTCCTTCAATGTCTACAATCATCTCAATCTGTGTTCCTCTCATTGCTGATAACCTGCGTTAAGACCGTGCTCATGGAGTCCGTCACTGAGTCCCGCGATCGGTACAATCTCCGCAGAGCACTCACCCTCCTGGAGAGGGACCTCAGCATTCTGGAAGATAAGGGCTACTATACCCTAGACCAAACCCTGCTCAAGCGGTACCGCGTCCAAATTGAACCTCTGAGTTTTCGCGGTAACGACTCGCTCGCGCCAAAATATTTCGGTCCATTTATCCCTCAGGGCCTGCCAGAGCCGACACAAGAGTATGTCGATAGAAACTACAACACTGCCAGACTCACCCTGTCCAGTGAGTTCGGACGTTTGATCTATATTTACCTCCAGTCATACATTCGCAAGTTGATGATCGAATTCCCCACAATCCGACGCGTATGGTCCAGCAACCAGTAAATCCTCAGTACCTCACCCCTTTTTTCCTCCTTCTTTACTAATCATGTCTTCAGGGTTGGCGATTACGACTTCGGTAACCTTTACCGGACATTTGAACCGGAGTTCGGCACATTGTCAATTTTTCATGTCGCCAAAGCCGCCAGGCCACATATTAAATGCATCATGCACAACGACCTCGATGCAGATGACAGTCATCTACTATACGGCGAGGTGTTGACCGTCGTCCGCATCATATTGGGCCAGCTAAAGCAGAAGGCCTTCGTAAATGACATGGTAGCACCGGTAACGGCACCCCCATACCTGCGCTCACAATTGGAGGGAAAATATCAATTATACTATTAGGTCCTACTCTTCTCATTAAACAGACGGCGCCCACGTGTCATCGAGGCATATTATGATGGCGAGAAGCTGGTGATGCGCCACACTAAACCCTATGACTTCACAACCTTGGACAAGGCTGAGTTCAAGACGTTCGCACAATGGTTCCTTGGCGATCCTATCGGTGATACGTCGAAAAGGGCAGTCCGAGCTTGACGCGTCGATAAAGAGGTCGGCATTTTCTGGGATATGGTTGTTTCAAGGGACCGATAGCTGTTGCGCAAGGATTGTGTTTTTGGAAGGATTATGTATTGATTCCGCAGGATTTTGTGTTTATAGATTTTATCACAACAAACGAACCTTTGCGATGCGTTCTATTAGTCCCAACCGGCTCCATAAAATTCTTCTAACCTACCAGCTTTGTCAGACGTTTATCGCCCGCTCATCTGTGTCAGCTGAAGACATGACTTTGAAGTCTTCGCATTGAGTGGGGCACTTGAAGTCTTAAATGGAGGACGAAACTAATACCCTTAATACCATTCTCTACTCATTATAAATCACCACTTTCCATAATGCTGGCCCGACTCAAACTACAGGTACGCATCTTTCAGGTCATTTAGACCAAACACATCTCATCAATCACTGGCTTCAACCTATTAACCTCAATTGCCGCATTCATCTCCTCCCACAACTGGCTACTTCCCATCAAAACTCCCCGACTAGTTGCAAGGCTCGTACCGTGCGGCCCTTTACCACTACCACCGCCATCACCAGACATGCCCCGATGACAGAAATCCGCCCATCAATAGCCACAGCCTGGCCCGACTGAGCTATCGTACTCGCGCCTCCAACCTCGACAACAAACCCGCTCCTCGCTCACGGTTTAATACCTTCTTCACTGTCATTCCCCACCTCTCATAGTGGCTGGGGACTGGAATAGGTGCTTCCTCGAGACGCGGAGAGTCTCCTCCGTTGGAGCCTCTAAAAACCTATTGCTTCATGGTTTTGGCGATTCTGTGACAGTTATTGTAGCCAAGCGGCGCAGATAGAGTTACAATATTATATTGGGTTATGGATGTAGAAAGGACTGCCAATAGCCAAGCTTTCATAGGCACATAGTGGACAGGCTAATGATCCTAGTCGTAAGCGGGCAGCCGGGTTTGAGAGGGTGATTAGAAATCAAGTTTGGATGGAACAACGGCTATATGTAGTAAGACTCCATTTTCGTCGGTATACTGTCTTCTTGGCCGGCCTTAACCGGGGCGTGGGGCTTGGGATCGTCGGGCATCGTGCTTCTTCGAACAAAGATAAGGTGATGTTCATATGTTCCTGTGATGAGATCTGAGAACATAGCATACCGCAGCCAATTCTATTTAGGCAAGCTTTCACCAAGCTGTATGCCCACCATCGACAACCACAGTACTACCGGTCATGAAACTGGAAGCATCGCTCATAAGCAACAAAGTAATGCCCCTAAACTCCTCCGGCCTTGCTAGCCTCTTCATCATATTCTCAGATGCCCAGAGATCTCGAGTATCTGGATCCTTCTCCATAACCATCTTTGCCATTGGCGTCTCAATATGCCCAGGACAAAGACAGTTCACACGAATCCCGCCGGTGCCATCTTCCTTAATCTCAGACCACTCCATCGCTAGACTCCGTGTCAGCTGAATTACTGCAGCCTTAGACGAGTTATATATGGCAGACTCCATGCCCTTGTTGGCAATGATACCGCTCATACTTGCGACAAGGAGAATGGAGCCGTGGCACTTCACATCCAACATTGCTTTTGCGGCTGAAACAGCGCTGCGAAAGACACCAGTATAGTTGATGTGGATCACGTCGTCAACGTTCTTAGGCGTGTGATCGATAGCACTCGCAACACAGTTTATGCCAGCGGCTGCAACGAGACCATCTAGCCGGCTGTTTTGTGCTGTGATGTCGGCAATAACGGCTTCGGTGTTTGCGTCGTCGGTGACGTCCATGCGCCTATAGTGTAAAGAGCCCCCAAAGTCTGGGTTTGCGCGCGCCTCTGCGGCGTGAAATTCTTCGTCTGGTTCGGGGAGCCTGTCAAGACAGTATACTGTGTATTGTTGATGTGAGTTATGGTGACTCAATACATAAGAGTGAAGCGAACATCTCACCTCGTCCGCCGGCTTCGACCAATGCCTCGGCCATCGACAACCCCAACCCCCTTGCACCACCCGTCACTGCAAATACTTTTCCTGCAAGAGAGAACTCTCGGAATCGCTCCTGGGCTTTCTCACTTCTAGGCAGCCTTTCCTTCACGTGCGCGTGTCCAGCCATAGACCGTGTGTATCTCGATGTTGCGCCGCAACCCAAGGGTCTCCATCTCTCATGTTTCAGGTTTGAGACGCCAAACGCAAAAGAGTGAGGACGAGCGCGCAATAGCACTGCCCTGGAATGTCGTGATAACATCTTGGTTCTACTAACTCTAACACGACCAGCCTCCCTCTCTTGATTTGATCTGTCAGGTCTTCGCGCCCGGCAATAGAGGATATGTATCGATGTATCTTCTCGCTCTGCTAATAATAACAAGTACATAGCTAGAACTTTCATTCTAACGGGAAGAAAATAGCCCATCTGAGTTGGAAGTCGGGATGTTTTGAAGCTCATGTGCCAAGGATGTACATATGTCAAGCTTCCGTCATCATCGACGCAAGGGCTGGGCAGCTGACCTGCCAAGGTATAGGTAGGCAACATGATCCAGGCGCTGCAAGCTTACAGAAAAGACTGATAAGTTATTAAGTTCAGCACGGTATAACACAGACTTTGCATCTTCCGTGTTCTGAGGTACTAGAGGCACATGCTTCAAACCGCAGGTAGCTGTAAGCCTTCGGCTATGATATCCTCCTGGTTCCGTGGATACATCCTGTGTTCACAAATAAACACAGTAAACATGCTATTGATTTTACTTTTTTCGATGTGAAAGCTTTCCCCTTTGAGGATCATCTCTCCATGATTGTATAAAATATGGCGTGACCAAGTTGCTAATGCGATAACATCAACAGTGATCGCTCCTAGAGCATACCTCTGAAACGGTAATTTTGCCTATGTAACTTGCTTTTAAAAACATACATTTGTTCTTATCATTTGCTCTCTTGTTCTTCCAGGGATAAACGCCTCATTACATCATTGCATGGCTGCCAAGAGGAGGGCAGCAAACCTTAACTTCAAGGTTCCTGGTTGGTAACACTAATGCGTCATACCGCCTGCACTGGGAGCCAGCCATACAACAGGTACTGTACATCCGCTACGAACAAGTATAACAGCGTGATCGAGCCAATAAGTAGCGAGCAATATAGCCTAGGGTATAGGGTTCGCCAGTGTAGGCTCGCTGAGACCATAAAAGCGTAATCCTTTCTGGGCAAACATACATCTGCTGGGCTGTTACTTTTCTCGCACAATTGACTCTACTTGAACTTAACAAAATTGGTGGTTGGAGTTGATGATACATTCCACTATAGAATAAATATAATGAAACTATAGTTCCATCCCATGAAAATGCATGTGTTACATAGCGCCATCTCCTTCAGTCGGTGCCACACCCTCCTTTGTTGTCTCACTCCCACTCTGCTCCACATTTTTCCACTCCAGAGGTAAGGAAGAGATGAAAGTCAAGAGAGCCAACGCCAAGGCCATTCAAAAAACATCTCTTAGACCAGCCATATACGCGTCCAACATCATTCCCAGCTCATCTGTCAGTCCTGCATCCGCCAAGACCGTCCGAATTCTGCATTTTTTTTATTCACTATTTAGGCAAGTCGATCAACTTCGACTTGTTCTGGCGACTATAAACGCAAGATGAGAAGCAGTGGTCGACATACTATACCAATTACAAGTGACCAGGACATTGAGATGATCGACTGGATCGGAACTAGAAACTCACCTAGCTCCTGTCAGCTTATTGCTTAGCCCATTCCTGCACCCCTGTAGATTCTTTCTTGGGGCTACGCTAGCATCGTGGCTTAAATCTCCAGCTGGAGGGACATAATGAAGTCTACCCCGGATTTTTCATGCACGAATCGGGGCCTATTATCCCGAGCCCCAAAAATTGATACTTGAAGTAGGGTTCATGGGCCTTTAGGTAGATATATTAGGTAGTCTCAGTGCTGCTAGTAGATCACAGATGATTAAATAAATCGCCTGGAATCACATGTCGGATTTCTCGCGGAAGAGTACATGCAAATCCCCAAAACTCATTGTAAACCTATCTTTCGCCTTCCCCTCAAACGCCATCCCGTCCTCTCCATGGGCGTATTCAAAATCAAACATTGTGACTAGTCGTACTAGGGTGTTGCGGATAGTAAGCAGTGCCAGGGGCTTCCCAATACACCCATACGGGCCTAACGAGGCGTCTGTTAGTATCCATCGCTTTTGGGGTGGGGGGGATGAGATCTATCTCGCCTAACCTATGGAAAAGGGAACAAAAGCGCTTTTGTCTTTCACCAGCTCTGGCTGCAGGTACCAGCGCTCGGGAAGAAATTCCATTGGGCGCTCATAGACTGCTTCACCTGTGGGTGACATGCAATCAACTTTATGCTCAATATGGGGATGTGGACAAGGACTTACTATGGCCTAGCACGTTCTGTGGACACATTACCGTCATGTTACCTGGAATGTTGACCCCGTCAATGATGATCCCTTCTGGCGGAGTCTTCCTTTGTAACGCAGTCGCGGCTGGCGGGTGGAGACGGAGAGTCTCGTTGATGATGGCGTTAAGATGTGGCAAGTTCGCTATCTTTTCATGTAAGACCTCATGCGACGGACCGGTTGTGTACGGGGAAACTTCATCGCGAAGCCGCTGCACCTGCTCTGGATGCTGTACCAATTGATACACTGCGGCGGAGAGGGTAGTAGCTGTTGTGTCACTGCTGAGTTGTCAGGTCTTTCAGTCACTCATGAGAGCTATTATGCTTTCTCACCCGCCAGCCAGCACAACCAACTGCGCGTCCCCTCGTAATAGTTCCCATTGCTCCTGTGAGGGCTGTTGGCCCTTAAGTGGCGCCACTAGCACGGAAGCAATGTCAGGAATCTCAGCTGGCGTCTGCAGCTTGTCAACATGGGATAAGGCTCGGAAGCTAACTTCTTCAGAGAAGGCAAACCTTGATTCGCTCCAACATCCTCTGGCCACAAAAGTCAAACAACCGCTGCCAAGCCCGCGAAAGCCCTGGAATCGAGATAACGACTCGGAAGAACCACGTAGGAAAGGCAAAGCCGAGCGGTATCATCACTTTCTTGAGTGAGTCTATGGCCCAATGGTCCTGATGCGCCTCGAGCATACCGAACGACCTTCCAAAGGTAAGGTCGCCCATGAAGTCGTAGCTATATAGCTCAAACCATTTTATGACGTTGACAGGCTTATTAGCGACAGCCTGCGAGCTGAAGTATGCCATCAAATGATTGAGATAGGGAAGCAACCGCTGCTCGTAGCCGCGAACCGCCTTGTCCCCAAATGCCGCGCTCCAGACGCGGCGTCGTTCGTCATGGGCTTTTCTGTCACGCAGAGTCTGTAGCGACACCATGGGACAGCTAATGTCGTACCAGTCTGCTTTCATACACCGCGATCCCAGCCCATATATTACATTTACAGCCTTGGGGTTCGCGATAGATAGGTAGTTTGGTCGAAGACGAACAAAGGGACCGTACTGATCATGTAATCTCTGCACCTGCCTAAATCCTTCGCTATGTCGGAAGATAACTGGGAGAAAAAGGCTGGTAATCTTACAGCCGAAGGGGCCAGGAAAACAGTTGAGGGGGTGAAGGAATATGCGGTAGATGAGAATGCTGGTGTAGTAACCGCTGAGAAAGCTGCCCTGGATGCGAGCTGCCTGGGTGAGGGAAGAATTGAAGTCAAGTCGATTTCCATGCTGGAAGCAGACCACCATACCTAGGAATGTTGCTGCAAGGACTTGGATGTAACGGACAATCCTGAGGTGGTGTTCTTCATGCTTGAAGAAGAGGTGGTAGGAGAGCGCCCCAGCTGCAAAAAGCACGAGGTGAGACCCCAGAATCATAGCGTCTGATCAAACGAGTTCGTAGTATCCAGCTGCTACACTGGTAGTACTTCTCACTGCGTTATTCCAGTATTTATAGTGTCCGAAGGTGATGGATATCCGGGCGGCGTCTGATGATGTTGAAGCATGAATGACGTAGCTGCAGATGCTGGAATCTATATTGATATTGCTCCTACCTGCGCACCCAAGGTGGCCAAACAAAGGTACCTTCTCAAGCAGTCCCGCAAGTTATCTGCTTTGTGTTTGATAATCTGTACATGAAAGTCCTCTGTCTCTCTTTTTGGTTACACGCATGATTCTACATGAAGATTGGGCGTTATTTGTAAGAACCTCCGACATTGAAATATCTAGAATTCAGACTAAGATTGGTGAACTAGCTGTTGTATTTGTGCAATACGCTGCAAGAATGGAATTACACTTGGCTAGGACCATTGTCGTTGTTGTGCAACCAATATTTACTGTACTAAAAGTCCCTGAAATCAAGAATTCTCTCGCGATAGAACGGGTGATCTTCAAGGGTAAGCGGAACCATCGGAATGAGCGGTAGACCTTTCTAGAGTTTTGTGGACATCGATAACATCATCACATGTTTCGTCGACCATTCTTCACCTCCTTATTAGGCTTTCTAATGTGACAAGTAGATACTATCTCACCGGATTGGTAGGCGAGATTAATGTGACAAAAATAATAATTGGCTGAAATCTGACCTGTCTTTTGTCTTCATTTACCCAGGCGCTGTACCCCGCCACGAACAGGCCTTCGTCACTCCGTAGTACCACGCACATGATATTATGCGGCAGGAAGTATTGCCTTCTGTGAGAAAAGGCTTCAACGCTTGGCAGATCTAACTTTCTCGCAAATCTTCTTTCGTCCCAGGGTGTCAAAACAGGAATGAATAACAACTCTACCTACATGTGAAGGTAGCCAACACTAGAGGCTACTTCGGCCATGCTGGCTGAATGTGTCGTTTGTTGTCCGAAGAGGAAGAGAGGTCTTTCCCTTCGGGCCGTTGCAGCACACAACTCGGGTTGCTCCCGTGACAGGCCCATGACAGGGATAAATTCTTGTATCGCCCAACAAAAGACGAACAAAACATCGAGGTCAAGCCAGTTATCATATATCCATACGACAAGAAGTAGCCAATGCGAAGACTGAGATGAGATAATTATCATTAACACGAACCAGTCGCTAACCGTAGCTCTATAATGTTTAACACAACACCGCAAAACCATGCAATGCATCCCAATTCATGAAAACATAAGGCCCCATTAAACCACCTCCTTACTCTCCTCACCCGACCTTTTCTTCTCCTGCTCCGGCTTACCCTTCTTAACATTCTTCCACCCCATCCCCCACACAAAACCGAACTGAACCACACAAAGCGCGGCACAGAGATAGAAAACCTCGTCAATCGCCTTCGAATACGCAACCAGCACCGAAAGAAGATCTTTGGTTGGAACGACGTCACGGAATCCAGTAGCGCCCGCTGCGATGACAGTCTCGGGGTTGACGTTCGGTGCGTATTCGGGGATTTTCTTCCTCAGGCCCGCGGTGAGGAGGACCTCGGCGACGGCGAGGAAGATGGACCCGCCGAAGGTTTGGCTGAATGTGAGGATGGCCATTGCGGGGGATATTTGGGCGGGAGTTACGGCGTTTTGGATGGCGACCATGGGCTTGATTTAACTATTAGTTTGGTGGTTCTAGTGGCGATGGGGGATGTTCGTGCGGGGATAAACGTACTACTTGAGTGGCAGCGCCACGTCCGAGACCAACTATGGCTTGGAATCCGGCCCAGTCTCTTGTGGAGGTGGTGGGGGAGAGCATTGAGAGGAGACCAGTGCCGATAGAAGTCATGATGGAGCCGAAGATGGCCCAGGGGAGGTAGTATCCTAGTCTGCCGGCTGGAGGGATGTTAGTGAATTGATTCATCAGGGGTGTAGATGCAGGTCACTTACTAAGGACACCGGAAAGCACTGCCATGACCAGCTGGCATAAGATATTGGGTAGCAAGTCCACACCACTCATGAGGGCGGATTCGCCCCGCACGGACTGGAAGTATATAGGCAGGTAGTACGCCATGACCATGGTCATTCCGAACATCATTGACATGGTCATGCAACTGCTCCAAACAATGCGCTGCTTCACCAACTGTCCCGGAATCATGGCATCATTGCCCATGCGCCGTTCCCAAAGACCGAAGACGATGAAGGTCGCAGCGGATCCGCAGAAGAGGCCGATGATGGTCGAACTTTTCCATGGGTATCGGCTTCCGCCCCATTGCAGAGCCAAAAGGAGCTCGATAGCGGCGGGTGCGAACAGCACAAAACCAAAGAGATCGAACTTCTTGAGAAGCACCGATGGGAAGACTTCTGCAGCTCTCGGTTTGGCATGTTGTTCCGGGATGTTGGTGAAGATGAGAAGGATTCCGACCAGGGCACCAATTGGAAGATTAATATAGAAGCCTGATATGGTTAGAAATATCGCCAGAAACGGCCGAGGAGTATCACTTACACCAACGCCATGTCGAATACGAGGTGAATGCACCGCCGATGAGCGGACCACATACTAGTCCCAGTTGAGAAACTACCCCAGTGTCAGCCTTCATACCTTGTAGCTCAAAATTGTGTACTCACATCCCATCATAATTCCCATGAACATTGGCCTTCGATGCATGGGCAATATACTGGCCAAGATATTAAGCGCGCCGTTGACCATGCCCGAAGACCCCATGCCTGCCACGGCTCGTCCGACAATGAGCATCTTAGATGAGGTAGCGACACCGCAGATTAGAGAGCCGAGTTCGAACACAAAGAAGAAGCCGAGGAAGGTCCATTTTTGAACGAAGTTGCCGTAGAACTTTCCGGTAAGAGGCTGTAGCGATGCGCTTGCGATGGTGTATGCGCTACCGTACCAGGCGACATCATCGAGGGAATGAAATTGATTCGTGATATGAGGAATAGCCTGAAGAGTCAATACTGGCGTACCACAATAATCGCATTGGTTACTTTCAGCGGTGGACTTACCGTAGACACAATCGACACGTCCAGTAACATCAAAAACACTACCAGTGTGACGGCCGTCATGACCATCAGAAGAGGGAGGCCTGTGAGCCACTTAGGCTCGTCGGGCTTTTCATCGGGTTTTGGAACTGGCGCTTCTGCCGGTGGGGTGTGTACATCTTCTCGTAGGCTCTTGTCGTCTATGGCGACAGATTGCGCCTGTAACGTCGATTCACTATGCTTTGCGCTCTCCATGGTGTATGAAGCTTGAATTCGATACTGTGAAGAAAACCATCTTCAGCGAAGGGTAGCAGCTACCCAAGGTGATAAATACCATGCAGAACTTTCGGACTTTTCGAGACTAAGATTCGGACTTAAGAAACTGGTGATTGCGACGACACGGCGAGTCGGTGCTTACGCCCTCCGCGAGCCCTTAGTAGAAGCTTCTATCGGAACGTGGACCACGGGAAAAGCAAGCCGCCCCCGTTTGTTTGCAGCCCTAAGAGCTAACTTCACAGCCATTGTCACAGCATGACTGGCAGCGTGGTGGGGCATACTAAACCCCCTAGGCGCCAGACCCGATCCCTGATCGGAGGACGTACTCCGTTCATCGTACAGCGTACAAGATACTCCATTGAAAAAAGAGTATGGTCTGAGTAGTGTCCGTTCGCAGTGGGCCAACCACGGCCCTTGGCAACAGAGATAAAAAAGAGCAAAGCAAAGCAACCCAGATTCTTCTTGATCGGGTTCCGAGCGGGAATCCCCCCACTCTGCAACCGATGAGTCAATGAAGATCAAGTACTAAAAAATTAATTTTGATGGAACCCGAACCCACACGAGGCTCTCACCTGGTGTGATAGGCATAATAGCCCCCCGTCTAGAATATCACTATGACACATAACAATAACATTGCATGTTGAAATGCGGCTGATGCGGTGAAAACACAGGCGCATACTTGACACATGGCCTGACGTTTTGCCGCAATGATGCCTTGTGAAGTAAATGGCCCCAAACGCTTGCAACATGCTGTTCGTATCACGGCACAGTCAAGACCACATCTCTCGTTTTCCTACTTTCCCGTTACTCTATCCCACAGTGCTATGTGAGGAATCATAGTGTGACGAGTCGAGGCCGGGGCTCTATCTCCCCGAATGCCGAGAAAAGCTTGAATGTCCGCGGGACGGAACCGGAAAATTGGTCGGCGGCTTATGGGACCCCACGTATTACTTCATAGACTCTTTAGATTTGCTGCTCACGATTAGAGCTATACTTCTCCTATATTAAAGGCAGGAAGCGGAAATTAGGTACATGACTTACTGGTAGGCTGATCGCTTTCTAGTTATCACAGAAAGGTATGACTCAGGCAACAGGTACAGGCACGGCAGCGGCTACCATTAACGCCGGCTATTATAGCGACCGCGGAATCAGAGAAAGCCGATTAAGCGCATTGACCATGCCATATCGAGGCTGGCAGAAAGGATCTGTGCTCCCTTCTCTATCAGCCAAGTTATAGAGTGCGTGGAGTTTTACGCGGAGCCAAAGGGCGGCCTTGATAAATATAGCAGCGGTCGCTATCGAGCTACGGGCCGTGTAGATGGCAAGCAGGGATAACCAGTACCAATGCAAAGTAAAAGTGACCCTATTAATAGTAGATATCATTTATATGTCAACTCAGTTGCTACTATTGGCCCTGGTACCTGATCTGCAACCAACGATCTTTCGAATGGTATACAGACAACTTGATTATCAATCTTATTGATCATGCCCGCAGTGCTTTATAAATATATCATTTACAGTTGCGTAATACTTGCTGGTATGTTCAGCTGTTTCAATAATTGCAGATATTGAAATACTTAGTGTCGCTTCAGTTACCACTTATAAAACCAAATGGGCGCTACATAAAAAGCGTGACTCTGAGCGAGCGAAACACATACCGTAGGATTATATATAAGTTCATTCCGGAGTTCGGAATTTGTTCGTCTACTAATAGCACTAGTATGCTCACAGTTCATCATCAGGGAAAAGCAGGCTTGATATTTGCACTGATCTACAGTCTGAACTACTATGTCACTAGTCAATCCATATTAAACGTACACGTTTTTTCGTGCCCGGTAGACAGTATGCCACTTTCAATCCCATGAAGGAAAGCGAATGCTCATAATCTACGATCAACCTGCCTCAAGCATAAGTGAACTATCGAACATCAAGTATACCCCTACACAGCCGCTCAGCAGTATTCTAAATCATACCAGAGCCGATAATTCTTGAACCCCGACATCTGGGCCCGATGAGCCTCCTCCCTCTCTTCGTCCGACCTTTTCTTGTGCTCCAAGGCTTCGGAAATATGCATTGGGTAATACCCCGTCTCGTTCATTACCATATCCACCAATTCTTTGGGAAGGGTCGATAACAAGGTCGATTTCGCTAGTATGGCATTGCGCCACCAGTCATGCTGCTGAGGGGGTACGTTCCGAGTCGAGCAGATCCGATAATGGGGATCAACTAACCACAAGACGACGCACCGTTGATGTCCTGGGCGACTTGGATCAAGCAAGGAGAAAGGATGCTTTTTATAACGCAAGGTATTAGACCAAGCGAGAAGTCGACCGCTAGTGACTGCGACCGAGCCCAGTGTTTGAAGGTTCAGAGCCTTTGGCTCCTCGCCAACTGCCGGGCAAGGAGGCATACCGTAAAGTTTGTAGATGCACAAGGGATCCGGTTGGTGACCATGCAATCTCAAGTTATCATTCTGTTGGTACGAAATGCGGGATTCGGTGATATTCTCCGAGCTATAGCAGAAGTGGGCAGTGGCAACAATATGCTCGTTGAGCATGCCATCCACATGGAATTCTTGATCCCCGGGATAATGAGGCTCATTCGCCGTCAGGTCGATACTGAATATCCGAACAATTACCTGTAAGCCCTGCTGCCGAAATTGCTCCTCCAGTGACACCAAGTAGTAATCATGATTATGAAGCACGTCATACTTACTATCACACTCCCATGGGCCGAAGATTGGATTTGCAGTCTTCCCCGCTTTCCAGTCTTCATACGTATAGGAGACACCTGGCTCGGGGTATGAGAACCGATGAAGTCGTCTCCACTTCGCCTGTACTATCCTCTCAACACTATGGGGAGATGCCCACATTTAGGTGTCATGAGACTCAGAAGGTCTTGGGCCTGGGGTGGATCATCGGGCTCTGGTGGGAACACGCGATATTTCGGATCCACATCTGGTAACCGAAGATAGTCTTTCACTTTGTCACAATGGCCTTCCCATTCTTCTGGCGACCAAGCGCGTCGAGTGATTTCTTGATTCCACACAACTGGCAGTAGGTCCTTCGGTGGGTATTCTGCCCATGGGGGTACTTCACTATCCGAGACACCGTACGTATAGATCCGCCGGGGCGTGCGACCTCGAAACCCTTTTACCAAAACGTCATTCCAAGGCGCTATAGACAAAGAGATAAGCTTTTCAAGGGAAGCATATGCTTCAGAATGTACCGGGTGGAGGTTGTTGATGTACGATGCTATCCGTACCGCCGTTCCCGAAGACTCGGCGAATTCAACGTCGCAAGGTAGCCATTGATAGCAGGAGGAGTATTGTCGGCATTTGAATTTAACGCTGGGATGACTGAACACTTGGGGAAAAGGTCCAAGCTTAGTCAGGGGATGATCTGGCACTGGTGCCGTCTGTCCCCGGTCGGAGGGAGGATACAGGTTAGAAATCTCTCCAAGAGAAACCCGACCACCATGACTGAGAACAGTCGTCCGACCGTAGATAAGCATGTGGAGTGACGGGTCCACCAAATCATGCGTGCTACACTTGGGAATTTGACTAAGTGCATCCTGGAGTTGATGCACCAGGGTCCCTGTCACATCTCGATCGGCTTTACAAACGCCAGAGTCGGAATTGAGGACAAGAACGTGGCCAGTGTCACGAAATGCTCTGGCCTTATCTTGTAGCTCCGCAACACACCAGAGCCATGCTCTCGTAGTCACCAGGTCCATGTCGACATCCAGATCCATGTCAGAGTTGAAATTTGCGCAGGAGATTGCCTGTGCATGCCATGCGGAGAGAGTATCTTCATCGAAGACCCCCTGGTCCCAGTTTTGAATATCAGTAATGCGCTCCATGAGTCGCAACATATTCACTTCGGGTGCGGTCAGCCTGAGAGGTTTCCTTTTCGTATTCTCTCGTGCCCCGTGTGTGAAGCGCTGGCCGATCTCGAACTCATACTCCAGGGGGATCCCGTTGAAGCCCGGAACACGAAGTGGACCCGATCCACTGTTATCAAAGTGCAAGGGGGGATCCATTTCGCTATCCATGTTTGTCCTCAACCGAGCCTGATGCTGGGTACAGATGATGGACAAACAAAGGAACAGCGCCGTAGGCTAGCTTTTCAATAGTTAAACTGGCGGCGGAAGAGACCGACGGAATGACCAGGTATTTTAGTAGTGCGCCGCTGGGATGATGTCTCGGTGTTATGACGGAAGTCTCGTTTCGGCCGGACGTGCGCAGACGGCGGACCCATAGCATATGATTATGGGCAGGCGCTAGATTGGACTACTGGTTGGTACTAACTTGCTAAGCTCCTTTCCATGCGAGATTCCACAAAAGAGTTGACACTAGGAGTGCCATTATACGTAAAATCGATTATTGTTATCTCCGAATTCTTCAAAAGATGCTTAAAAATGAACACAGACAAATGCCAATTTCAGTTTTCATGAATAGCTAGAATACGGAATAGATCAAGCAGATTGAGAGAGAGACAAGACAGGTAATTACTCAAATGAAAGCAAGGGTCTCTAAGGATGCCCGCCGCTCATCTCCATCCTTCCAAGGTACCAATAAGACGACACCCGCCACCACTTGTTCCCGCGGTGCTTATGGTGGCTACCGTGTCTATGAGAGTCCAGGTGTCGCTTGATAGCGGGGTTACTTGGGGTCTGAGAAAATGGGAGGCTTTCAGTTAGCTTCGCCGAATGCATGTAAAATCTTGTACAGTAGCGAGGAGCCGTCGAAAGGAGAAATTCTTGCGGCACTAATTTGCTGCCATGAGGTTACTTACTATGCGAGCAGCAGATAAGGATATTGTTGGAGACTGTATAGGATGAGAAGATGAGGCCGCGTGTGAAAGCCAAGCATCAAGAGAAGAGTCATTCCCCTGCCTGCAGACACCGTAGGAAAAATTTGGGTTGGCTGCTGTAGCCACGGGAGAGTGTCGGAAAAGTTCACACTGGCCACCGCTGGTGAAGAGCCAGGTACGGCATGCAGGAATGGTCGAGCATTTCAGGCTGCAATCCGATGCATCGGTATAGTTAGAGCCGAATGTCAAAGCAGCTCCGCTAAAGAACGCAATAGTATCGTGAGAGATACTACCCATGCAAGATGTGCTTGCAGTGGTTGTTGCAACCAGAGCAGCAAGGCTCACAAAGGTAGAGAGAGATATCAACATTGTGTAGAGTGAAAGTTAACTAGAACAGGGCGATAGATAGATAGAGCGTCTCTCCTTCATCTAGCCTCTTTATATCATCTCGAGGACAAGGGTCATCACCCAAGACGTATATCCAGAGGGTTCAGTCATGATGGTATGTTATCTTAGCAAGAACCTACGACTTGCTCTAGGTACTATCGTTGTAATTTAGTATCCCTGGAAGGTAATCACTCAGGTCGTAGTGGCTGTCCCAGTTCGGCGTGAGGGTTGTTCCCCTCTCAGAGTGCGCTGGCACGATGTACATCTTAGGTATAGTAAGCCGTTTAGTCCGCGCCTCGCGTATTCCTGTTAGGCAGAACCTCCGTGTTGATAAGGAGGAGTGGGCCGCTATACCACATCCGCTTGAACGTCTATATTCGACGAGATAAGACAGCTACTCTCAGGGTCTCATTTCCGATCTACCATCATATTCTTGCTTCTATAGTTTTAAGCCTTCGGGGTACCGACGCACTAGCGTCTCCGTCGCTTTTCCATCCTAATGGGTAAGGTGTTCAAGTTTGCGCCTCCTTTTTGCCGAAGATACTCCGCGGTAATTTAGATTGCTACTCCCATGCCATCTGGCCTGGGCTACCCAGCCAATGATTGTTTCTCAGAATTAGCAGCAGCCCAGCCATTTCGCAATTTTCCACATCTTGGTCCGGCTACAATTTGAAGCTATTATCTTTCATAACAACTAATACATCATGCTAAACTGAATTTACAGGTGCATCCTGAGTTGCCTTCACTTGACAAAGCCCTTGTACTATCCGCTGTCCAGGGGTGTCCCCAGCTAGCCTCATCACCCCTATCAGTTAGACTACTTTATCTGCTGTCTTCCTAAATGACTGAAAGCTTGATACATAGCATCCTGAAGCCGGAGCCAGAGTATAAAGTTCACATGAAATAAACGAGCACAAATGATCTCCGCAGTAGCGACAGATACAAGAGACAGGAAGACAAGACAAAAGAACACACAACAATAAAAGACAGATTAAATAAATTCTGACTCCCCAAATTCCCAGTCCTCAAGAACAGCCCGCCTCCAGCGACGGTATCACCCGCTGATACATATTCACGATATTTTGGTGAGTTCTGTAAACCCGGGTGGTAGGTTTGGCTTGGGCAAACTTGAGAAAGTCATCGTAATTACTCATGACTCTCGTCATGTCCCCGTCCGATGCCAGCAATGCCATGTTTGCATAATCAAGATCAGCGTAAACAATCTTCAATGGGGGTGACACAGTCCTGTCAATACCCAATTCTCGTTGGGTGCTCAGCAGGTCGACGTCTGGGTACTTATCTGCAAAAGCCAGCGCTTTCGCACCCTGAAGCTCCCCATTAAGGACAATCATCTCACTGAGCCTCACGGCCTGCGCCCATTTCAAGGCCACCACTGCCTTGTCCATCAGATCGGTAGATGGCACAACTGCTCGAGCCTCTTGTATTTTACTCGCGACAGCATTGACCACATTGGCAAAGTAATCCGGAGCATTCTTGATGATTTCGTCAGCCTGTAAGTCGCTACCATTGTAATTCCAATACGTATCAATCTCCTCGGCTGTTGCATAGACGTCGGGGCTTCTAGTGGATCCAGTTGAAGTGGGCGTGAGATCTTCCGCATAATATGGATCCATGATCGTTCTCAAAAAGGCCTCCAAGGTACAATCTCTACCAATACAGTCACCTCCGATTGTGGCCTCATATGAGATCCCGTCTTCGGCTGCTCTGGCTGCAGCTGCGGCATCGATCTGATAGGCATAGTAGAAAAAAAGAGCTTCGAAAGGACCGGTCATTTTCGAACAATGCCCAAGTTCAATGGAAAGAACCAGCATGAAGATAAGCAGGACGGGCTTCATTGTGCGTAGATTTTCGAAAGCAGAATATTCAAAGTCTCGTTGGAAGAAGAGAATGGAAAGGAAGGTCTTCATTATTCTCAATTAGACCAGCATAGAAATAAGAACACCAGGGATTTACTAGTATCTTTATGTATCTTCCATGAAGGCCTCTCCCACAATCAGCGTGGTAAATTCGCCATGATCCTATCGAAAATTGGGGGCCTTATCGTTCACCATGGCGCCTAACCGATCATAACGCCGGCCACTACTAGTCAATGCAACCTCAATAATTGCAATCAAACTAAATAACCCGGTTATGGTGGATACCAATTTGCTTTAGCGAAAGACTACTAGCGTTGGTGTCACAGATAAGAGTATACGGATTATTGAACAGGAGCCTGTGAGACTATCGAGGTAGGAATTGCTGCGAGCCGACATGATGTCGTTCCAAATTAATCCCTCATCTAGTTACGAAAAAGCTCAACTAGTATCCGCTAGTAGTAATGAATACCTACGGATAATGGGATGTCTATGCCCTTTGGTTGAGACTGGACCACAGCTGACAGGCCTTCTCTATCTATAAATAAATGCCTATATGCTCTGGTCTATCTCAAGGACTGGCACAGTTGCTCATTCTCACTTACGCTCACTTTCACATCATTAAATCGTTCGTTTCAATATAGAACTCACTCATTTCATTCACCCCTTTTATTAGCTTCGGTCTTCCTCTCCTGCAGGCAAAATCTCCTTCTCGACTCTTTATTCTATTTGTTTCACTGCTCAGCTCTATAGGGGCATGCCTCTAATTATGACACCCTTTCTTCCAGCGATCTTGGGTCTTGTGCTTTTCTCACTTAATGTCCATTCACGAGCAGTCTTTGCCCATTTTATGGTATGTCCTTTGTTATTTTATAAGGAACCTGGGCTGACAGCGCCGATAAGGTCTCCAATACCCTCGGCTATACAGTCGATGATTGGCAAAATGAGATGCTCCTGGCTTTGGACGCGAATATCGACGCATTTGCGATGAATATCGCTGTAGGAGACGCTACCAACACACAATCTTTGGAAAATGCTTTCTCAGCTGCTGTGAACACTGGATTCTCTCTTTTCTTTTCCTTTGACTATGCAGGGAATGGGGCATGGGCCAAGGACGACGTCCTGGACATGCTAGAGACTTACATATCGGCCAAAGCATATTGGAGATATAACTCAAAGCCCTTTGTCTCTACAATTGAAGGTCCTGACAATGCAGACGATTGGATTGATATAAAGGAAAAGACTGGGTGCTTCTTCCTTCCTGACTGGTCCTCCGTGGGGGCTGATGTCGCCGTGAGTCTTGGAGGCGGGGTGGCTGATGGCTTATTCAGTTGGGCGGCATGGCCGTACGGCCCAAGTAATATGAATACCTATGTTGACGCCTCTTACATTGATTTTCTGGATGGTAAGCCATACATGATGCCGGTCTCTCCCTGGTTTTTTACCAATATGCCTGGATACAACAAGAACTGGCTGTGGCGGGGTGATGATATCTGGTATGACCGCTGGATCCAGGCCATGTATCTTGCCCCTGAGTTCGTTGAAATCATCTCCTGGAACGACTTCGGTGAATCCCACTACATTGGCCCTACTCCGGACGCTGATTCCTCGCTTGCTGAATCGACTTATACAGCTTTCGGGACAGGTCAGGCCCCGTACAACTATGCCTTGAACATGCCACACGACGGTTGGCGAGCTTTTCTTCCCTGGCTCGCTGATACTTACAAGAACAACATCTCGACAATCACGCAGGAAGGTGTTCAGGCATGGTACCGACTGAATGTCCGGGGAAGCTGCACGTCGGATGGCGGGACAACCGGTAACACTGCGAGCCAACTGCAACTGGAATACTGGCCATACGAGATCCCTCAAGACCGGATATTCTTCTCTGCTTTATTAGCCTCTTCAGCAGATATTTCAGTGACAGTCGGGGGTACAGACTTAGGCGCATCTTGGAATAGTACCCCCAGTGGAGGGGCGGGCGTCTACCATGGTAGCGTGGAATTTTCGGTGCAGGCAGGGAGCGTCGAGGTGGCTATCACTCGAGACGGCGCAACAATTGCAAGCTTCACTGGCGAGGAAATTGTGACAGGCTGTGCTGCATCAACTGGAATTGAGAATTGGAACGCCTGGGTAGGCAGCGCCATGTCGGCCACCACGATCTCAGCCACCCCGACCTACTCCCTCGCAGACGAGGTATGCATCCGCGGCTGGGGGGTAGGCAACTTTAATGGCCTTTGCTCCTTTGCTTGTGCACTAGGATACTGCCCTGTCGGGGCTGTCTGTGCCAGGAAATGGGCCCTCAGGCAAAGTTGCCTAAAAGCCTGGGAGTGATCGGCTACCCTGCCGCTGGAATGACATCCGACTACTCGGGTCTCTGTGCCTTCTCTTGCAATTACGGCTACTGCCCTTCGTCCGCTTGCACCACTACAGAAGTGGCTCTTGCTACTTCTACTGTGTCACCATTCACCCCTGACACTTGTACTTCTGGAGAAGGAACCGGTGACCTGACAGGTCTGTGCAGCTATAGCTGCGCCTACGGTTTCTGTCCCATCCATAACTGCACTTCTACTGCAACCGGTCCCTTAGACGTGCCGCCTACTGCAAACACTAGCATATATGGCTACACCATGGATGCCTATACTGACAGTGGTCTATGTGACTTTGCGTGCGAGCGAGGCTATTGTCCATCGCCCGTCTGTTCGGACGACGTTGCTGGTAACAGTACAGACCTAGTGTGCACAGATGATGATCCTGATTCGGATTGTGCCGATGACGTCGAAACCTGCGACTACACCCTTACTTTCGACAGCTTTTCGAGTTTGAAGTCTTCTCTAAGCTCCATAGAAGACTATTGTGTGAACTATTATGCTCTTGGTATCCTTTCCGACATGCTCGCCGACACGATGACCAATTACACGGACATCCTCTCAAGCTATGGTGGCAAATTTACTGAGTACCAGGAGTACATCCGCGAGGAAGTTCCTGGCGTATTGGAGGATTACATGAACCCTGGGGGTGCTGGAAACGCCTTCTTCACGTGTACCTTTGCCCAGGATGGCGTGAACGCTTCCACAACCACATGTCCGTTTGACGTGGAACAGCTTTACAACGACTATGAAATATACTACAACCTTATCAACGCTACTGCCTTTTGGGCCAACCTCACAGCCACTACCGGAGTCCAAAAGAACTGGGTGCAATTCGGAGACAAAGATGTCGGCTCCAGTTGCGGCGTAGGATCTGGCAAGACATGCCAGCCTGACAAGGGTGTGCTGAAGGGTTACCCTCTACCGGCTGATAACATCACCGTGACGAACCCACAGACGATCGTCGAGGATGCGCTTCCAGGAATCTATAATTTGACCGAGACGATCTATCTGACCCAGATACTGTCGGCCACAGGTGCATATGGAGGTAGCATGAACGATGTGCTTCTCACCATTTCAACCGTCGTCTTCACGCTGGCTCAAGCGGTAGCAAACATGGGCGAGGTGGTTGAAGTTGCTGATAAGGCCTCAGAAGAGAAAAAGAAGGCAATGATCGAGGAGATCATCTTTGGCGTGTTAATGGTCGTCCCTTTCCTTGGCGAAATCAGGCTGATTTCGGACAGTTTAGAGCAATTGGCCGATATGATGTCGCTCATCGGAGATGCAGGCGCATTGGGTAGTACGATCTACGGCGTAGCCACCGACCCAGATTCGGCAATACTGGATATATTCACAATTGCCCTGATGGGCGGTTACCGGACGCCGGAAGAGTTTGAGGAAGCTGCCAATGCCCGTCGCGCGCTGACTGATGATGAAATTAGTAGCCTGGGGTCGGACTGGAAATCGTGGAGCGATGACCTCTCCAATGTGAGGTCGGTGTGTTACTGAGATGCCCGACGCAGGGTATTCACGCACAATATCATTCTTCCTTCATGGAACGTGTGTCACCACCATTTCAAATGTGTAGTATGAGAGCAGAATATGGACGATTATAACGGTCTTATACAAGAGGGCCCTGTTTTTGGTGAAATGTAGACTCGTGACACTTCTCCAGATATCGGCCTGTCTGTATGCTCCATACAGGAGACGCACTTGATACTGGAGTCATAGCCTGGTGGGAAATAGTGTCGAAAGTGAAATTCTAAACCAGAAGGAGAATGAAAGCACGTAAAACCATCGGTCATGATCCGTGCACGGGATCCACAAAACTAAGGTCGGGCCCTCCCGATCCTGACTCATTCCGCTATCAACACGTGACTCTCCCCGAACTCAGCTCACATTCGCGGCATCAGGTGGTTCGCGGCGGACCACTTTGAGCATTGCCAGGTACTTTAGCCCCCAGTGCCTAGTCGGAACGCATTATATGAATGGGCTGGTGCTGTCTAGCATTTGACGCAACCGTCTGAAGCTTCTCCAGAGCGCAGCCGCGTTTCAAGTCCGCGATCTCATTACTGCATCGCGGGGTCAACCAAGTGATCGAGCAGGCGCATTATACATAATCAGCTCCCCTAGAGTCCAGCAATTTCAGAAAATATGCCATCCTCGGCTCCGGTGCCCGCAACGGGCTTTCAGGCTCTCATTCTATGCGGTCCCGGCGTCTCTCTTAACACCTTCACATCGAACCCGGAGGAGTACCCGAAGAGTCTCATTCCTATCGCAAACAGGCCCATGGTGTTCTATCCCATCGACTTTTGCAAGCGGTCAGGCATTACAGGTACGTTGTTGGTGACTAAAACATGTGTCCTTCAACCCTAGACTGGCAGATCACCTGTCCTGGACTAACGTCATATCTCGGCCGATACTAGATATCACATTAATCACGCCCCCTTCCTCTCTCGGTCCCCTTCAAGCTGCTCTCAAGCAAAACCCACATCTCACATCGCTACCCGCCCCCTCCGTGTCCGTCGTGGCCCCAAAAGACCTCGAAATGACCATGGGAACGGCCGAACTGCTCCGTCTTCCGGAGGTTCAAGAATGCATCAAGACAGACTTCCTTCTTCTTCCATGCGACTTGATATGTGATATCCCAGGTGAATCTATACTAGAGGCGTGGTTGGTCACTCAGGGCGCTTTGGGGGGTAATTCCGATGGCCCGGGTGGGGAGCAAGGGGGACGTCGCGGCGGGCTTGCCGTATATTATCAGACACTGGGTCGTGAGGAGAGCGTGAAAGGCGAGGCCACCGACTTTGTCGCTGTCGCGCCTCTCGGGCAGGATGAAGCTCCGGTAGTATCACACCTCGTTGATGGACCTTCAGCCCTGCGGTTTGGCCTATCAAAACTACTCATGTCAATGCCTATGGATACTGTGAAGGAGAGGATGGAACAGGAGAAGGGCTTCCTTGTGCGCCACGCCTTAGTACAGAAGTATGCCCAGGTCAAGATGTTGACCAGCTACCGGGATGCACATCTTTATGTCTTTCCCTATTGGGTGAAGGATCTAGCTCGTCACCAGGAGAAGCTCGAATCGGTAAGTGAGGATCTTATCGGCTATTGGGCCAAAGCAGGATGGCAAAAGGGTCTAGGGGATAAGCTGGGAATGAACAAGATCTTCCATGATCAAAGCCAGCACGACAACAAAAGTCACGACGGCGATCTGGTGGAGGACGAGATTGATCTCAACAACATAAGTTCTACAAAGGTCGGCAGTCCGGCTTCACAAGCTGTGGAACACCCTCAAATTCTCGCCTATGTACAACAGGGGTCAACACCCTTTGTTCGAAGAGTTGACAGTTCCGCTATCCTGCTGTCAACATCCCTTCGGCTGGCCAAGCTAGACTCGATCGAGGAAGTTGGTCGCCAGGCAGCATCGCCTTTTGCGCATAGCCAGAAAGTTGCCCATCCTGAGGGTGTGGCCCAACGCTGCACAGTTACAAAGAGTGACTGTTTGCTTGCTGAGAATGTTACCGTGGAACCAACATGTGTCATCAAGGAGAGTGTCATCGGGCCCAACTGCCATATTTCTAGTGGTGCACGACTCACTCGCTGCGTGGTAATGGACGGAGCAGTAGTTGAGTCCCGAGCTCAGTTGACAGGCTGTCTAATTGGCCGACGAGCTAGGATTGGTCGTGAATGCGTCCTCAAGGACTGTGAAGTCCAGGATGCCAACGTCGTTCCGGAGGAAACGGATGCTAAGAATGAGAAGTTCATGGTATTCGAAGGTCTGGATGATGAAGGAGATGAGGGAATGGACGATATGGATGAGTTCGACGGTTGAGTCTGTTTATGAGTTCAGTGGCGACTGGTTCGATAAATATTTCACATACCCCTGCTTATGTCTCGATGAGAAAGACGAAATGATTTTCAAAAGTTACGTCACTGGTGGACATTGACCATTAAGTTGCACCTGATGCGCAGGCTACTTGTAGAGCTGGTATACACAACATTCTCGACCGGCGGCCGACTCAGTCCGATCTAGTCCGATTTGAGCCGAAGTTCCTATTCAGCCTAAAGCGTTGGATGTTACAGATACCGCTTGCTTATAACAGGTTAGAATAAGACCCCATGATGACTCCACGTGATCCACCATTTATAATCTTGGCTTCCAGATAAACTCATGAATCCTTCGGTAATGCTTCCGCCGACCATACTATTGGAATAGTGACAACCATACCCACAATACAATGCTGACCTCCCCATTGGATGCATCTCCTTTCAAAATCATGGAGAGCTCCACACTTGACTCCGATCTTCCACCCTTCGATATCAACATATCTTCCGGAATTCCAATATCTACCGGTGCAGTGGAAACGGAGGAAGAAACCGATCCCAGTACAGCTACGCGCTTGTGAGACGTGTAGCCAACGCGACAGCTAACATGACCTCGTCCAGCAGGCGAGATCACTCATATTTACCCCGGAGCAGACCTCGTGCCCTTAGACGTCTTCCCGTCTTCTCTTCCACGACGGCTCGTGAGGCGGGCACTATCTTATCGTAAGCTTCTTTGTCGCGCAGGACAGTTTTACCAAGCTCACTGCACTAGGATTTGCGATCATGACGCCTCGTGTACTTCCATCGCGCAATGTGTCTAATCCGTATCTCCAATACTGGTTTCCTATGTCACTGAACGACCAGGCGACATTTAAGGCTATCGTACTATCCTCTCTATCTCATGAGCGGATTAATGGTTTGTTCTCAGCAAACATGGCTAGCCTGACATCGACCAAAGAGGTCGTACCGTATTTGAAACAATACTACTTGGATACGATAACTTCGATCAATGAAGCACTACACGATTCTGCTCGAGCAACTGCTGATGCGACTATCTTGGCGGTCTTGATGATGGTCGAAAAGCCATTGCTTCAGGATCATAATGAATGGTCCAAGCGGTCTCCATTCCAGGCACCTCTCCATGGATTACAGTGGTTAGACGTTCACAGTGCTAGAGAGCCCAATCTGGTCCACCAGATGGGTCTTCACAAGATTATATCCTTGAGGGGTGGCCTTGCTCAAGTCAAGACCCCCGGTCTTGCAGCCGCCGCATTCTAGTAAGCCACGTCTCTCATCACCCACGATTAGAAACTGAAAATCGCCTTAGCCGAGTACTAGTAAATTCGACACTACTGCTCTCCCCTCCGCCGCTTCCTTTCGTCGCACTGTCTGGCCAGAACGCATCCGAGATAGAAAAGCACTTGCTCCTTGGCACCATGAACCTAGTCAATCGCTTAAACGTCCTCAACAAACTCCCTCTCGAGTCGGAACTCCGACAAGTGATGCATGGACTAAGAGCCTACACAGCAAATATCGACGACTATATTTCTGGACGCAGTCCATCCTACAGTCCCCAGGCAATGTGTGACCAGCGCAATTTAGTCCAGTATCATCTGATGAGCATAGGGCCCATTGCCGGCACAGGACTTGGGGCTATATCCGAAGTCTGTCGACTAGCGACAATTATCTACAGCATCGGAGTGACATTTCCACTTTCTGGCGTCCGAGCTCCTTTTGGAACTCTGGCCATGACATTACAGTCTGAGTTAGAAAAGAATGATCTTCTCAACAACTGGCCGATCCTGGAACATGGCGATATCCTGTTTCTGTGGATCCTGATGGTGGGCGGTATAGCAGCTAGGGACAGTCCCGGAAGAGGCTGGTTCATCGAGTGCTTGTCTGAGATTATGTTTGTCTCAGAGAACGTGCAGTGGAGCTGCGTGAAAGAAAAGCTACAGATGATACTTTGGCTAGACATTGCTTGCGATATGGCGGGCAGAGACGTCTGGAGTGAAGCCCACTCTCTTCTGCAAAATCGAGCGCAAAGGGCAAAATCAGTCCCTTTATCGCCTAGAGCAAACCAGAAGTTGAAGGCACCTTGTGCCCACTGTCGATCAAAGAAGATTAAGTGCGATAAGGATGATCCTTGTCAGAATTGTGTCAGAAGTGGGCTGAGCTGCGGCTCAGCTGGAGCCAGTGCGGCTTTCCAGGCAAGGGTGCACGTGTTCTCCATGCGACAGAAGCCGTGTGATCTGTGTCGACGACGGAGGGTGCGATGTGATAAGGAGAAGCCGTGCAAGCGCTGCAAAGATGGTGGCTTCAGATGCGTTTACAGAGAAGACCAATGGGTTGAAAGCTTGGAATTGAGATCCTCCCAGGCTGGTTGCAGTTAGTATCTGCTACTAAACAATTAATGAACCACCACTCCCACTCTAGCGACTGGGTTTCAACGATACAAAAATAGGAATACTGGAACAAGATCGTTGGCTTCATACATTAGACGGACAGTCCGGTCATACTAATGTTGAACGATGCAATAGGTGCGCTGTGATCATTGAAATCTATCATGAACTTAAGACAACCAACTACCGCCTAATCATCTAAGAAAGCCCACCATGACGCTCAATCAACTGACCAGAGCATATACACCACTCACAATCCAAGAGCACGAATCTCGAACTCCACAATACTAGGAATGGCCTCCCAAAGGCTCGGTCCCTCAGGCTTCCACCCTAAAGCGCGCAGCCGACTAGCCCGACTGCGACAGTTTCCACCCCACAGAACCGGCGCCCACGGATGGAATTTAAGAGCGTCCTCAACGGCCAGTGGTTCGATATCCGCAGCAGCAAGCTTTCCCTTCTCATGAGCAATCTGGGTGACTTTTTCACTCACACCTTTCCATGAGAACTCGCCGGCCTCGGCAAAATAGTATCCCTCTGGGCCCCAGGTTGCTGAGCCTCCGTTGGGCTTCAGTGCTTCTTCAGTTAGGACGAGGAATGCTTTGGCTACGTCGCTGACGTGACAGTCTGCATAAATGTTGGTCTGTCTCCAAGTTTCAAAGAGGTAGAAGGAGACTCACAATCCCAGAGATTCTCCCCCTTTCCAACAGTAAACCCTTTCCCCCGATTTAGAATCGCTTCAGTCAAGAACGGAACCTGCATGCTCCGCTTCTTGATCGGCCCCTCACCAACGCCATAGATAGTAGGCGGGCATACAATTGCTGTGGGAACATTTAGCCGCATTCCACCTGTGATAACCGCATCATCTACATTCCGGTGTAGAGCTTCCGCGGGCAGGTTAATAATCTCATGAATGTCTTTGACATCGTCGTAGATCTTTGAAGTAGGGTTTCCCGGTCCAGTCGACATATCGTTAAGAACGCCCGTGCCAGAGATGTGAATGTATCTCCCTCTTCCATTTCCATTTGCTAGGCCACTGAGAAGGGAGTTCACAGCAGGGACGTGGTCGGAGCTGGCGGTTTCTGTTGAAGTATGAAGATGTCAGTCGATGACTATTGGGTGAAGCCTGGCTATAGAGGCCGGCAGTAGCAGACTTACGCAGCACAACATCAGCCTTAGCAGCCTCCTCCTTCAGCACTGCATCATCATCGAGGGTTCCGAGGACGGTACTGATGTTGGGGAAGCGGCTCTTGAGCTTATCGGCTTGCTCTTGGTCTCGGACTAGTGCCACGACGTCGTACTCGGGGTGCGCAGCAATTAGAGTGACTGCTGTCTGGCCACCAACGTAGCCGGTTGCACCGGTGATGAAGACTCTGGGAGACATCGTTGGATGATGTGCTTGAGTTATTTGGGTTGCTGTGGTAGTTATTGTATTGGATTTGTGATTGTTGAGTGTTTTATGGGACACTGATGATGGGTAACTGTTGCCATTTTATAATCAAATCTTCGTAGAGATGCAGTCTTTGTCGATTACCAAGACAGCGAAGAATGTCGTTGAATTGCTAAGCAGATCTGGCTTTGAGGCTATTCGGATAGTCTGACACGAGGCTCGCCGAGCTCGCCGAATGCGCCGGGTTGACTAGTTGCGGATGGACTGCCGCTAGTTTAAACTGTGTCTATGCATAGGTTCTGCCTCCCAATTTCTTACTGGCTCGCTCTATATCACCCATTATGGCCAAATGCTCGTGTTTCTCGCTTCTTTCTTATCTTCCGCCAACTGAACAGATCATTGCTAATCACGGCAGCACGCTTTAGGGACTAATGAGAGAATCGGCTCAAGTCATCCAGTTCTTTCCGTTAAATTCTATACATCAATAAATACTCTCTATCTAGTATAAAAAAATAATAATAATAATAACCCTACAACAACCCCGAAAAATGAACTTCAAAACCCCTCTCACACCTCTCCACCCCCACGAACCTCAAGTCCCTCACCACCCAATCAGCCCCAGCCCTCTTCAACACATCGACAGAATGCGTCGTCGCAACCGCCAAAACCTTACAATTAGCTGCTTTGCCCGCCCGGATACCAGCCGGAGCATCCTCCACCACCAGAACATCTTTACTTCCATTATCATCATTCACCCTCCCAGCCAAAATCTTCTCTTTTCCCTTGCGATATCCCTCCGGATCCGGCTTTCCCAACGTAACATCCTCCGCTACAGTGACATGTTGCGGTTGAGGCAGTTGTAGGACGTTTAACCAGCCACTTAATAGTGCTTTCGTTCCAGATGTCACTATAGCGTGAGGAATGTGGAATTTGGCTAACGATTCGAGGAGGTTGCGCGCACCGGGGATCTCGACGGCGGGGGTTTTGCTAAGCGTGGGGATCTGGGATTCCATTTCGCTAACATCTAAGGACAAACTTTAGGTCAGTCATGACTTAGGATGGGATATGGAAGGTAATGTAAGTCTACATACATTCCCAGTTGGCCTTTGTGGGATCTAATTGTTGTAGGACATCGATGCTCCGTCGCCCGTGCGAGGTGCGGAGGATTTCATGATGGTCGATGCCTAGTTCATTGCCGATTCTGTAGTTGTGAGTAAAGTTGCTTGTAAGATGTGCTGGTGAGGGTATACCTTTTCCAGTTCTCGATTATCGCTGGGCAAATGTTAGATCCGCTTTGGGTTTTGTATGGGAATTGTTGACTCACCTTCTGTTGAATCTATGATGGTACCGTCAAAGTCTAGCAGGACTCCTGCGAAGATGTGGGATGCGAAGGGCCCGGATTCTTGCGTTTCAGGTGACATTTTTGCTTATGAGAATTAGTTATCGACGATGTGGGGGGGGGTTCAACTGCTATGTTTATCGAGCTACATCTTTATATCGACAGGCGTGGCGCTGATAGGCGGGTAGGTACTGAATTTGGCAGTTGTCCCGCCTACTAAACAGGTAATCGGCCCGACACATCTTGAACACGGTGAAGAGATATGGTTAGAGTTAAAGTTGAGTCTGGATTGTAGATCACCATCGAGCCTATAAATAGATATCTGCATGTGGAACTAGATTCGTGTGCTCATACTATGGAATCGAAGCTGCCATGTTTGCACATCTGGGGTATATCAAGAGTTGACAACCAGAGTCTCACAGAAGTCTTACTTTCATTCATATCCCTGATACAGATGTGTGATGAATATTATCTCCAGTTCTCTTTACCAGACCATATTTAGTCATTATATACCCAAGCAAGTACCAGCAACTACATCGGCTTCTGCGCCGCAACAACCAAAACATCAAAAATGGGATGAATATCCTTCCTCAGCGACTCCCTCTTCACCCCAGCATTCAACTCCTCAATCTCACTCTGCTCCCAACCCAGCACATCCCCAAACAACGCAGCAGTGAACCCCTCCACTCCCTCCACAAAATTGACCCTCATGAAACTCCCACACTCCTTCAACCTCGCATCCTTGGGCCAACTTCCAATCGGCAACTTAAACTTCATCGTATGCACGGCACCAAACCCAGCCTCAGCAACCCATTTCTCAAAATCCGGCGCCGGATCCATCGTCTGCCCGATCCTCAGACAAGCCTCCTTCAACCCATCCATCATCTTCACCATATAACTATCCCCCTTTAGACTCTCATCCTCCGAATACAACGTATTGACACTCTCCTGCAACTCTAACCAACCCCCAGGCTTCAAATTCTCATAACACTGCCGAATCAACCTCGGCCAATCGCGAATCGACCCCGCCATATACCGACAATGAATATAATCATATGGCTCACTCTCCATCCACTCCTTCTCCACATCATCCACAATAAACTTCACATTCGGCGGCACCCACGACGGCTGGATCGGACTGAGATCGTTTCCCACGATCTTCTCCACGTTCGGGTACTCGTCGCCCATTTGAATGGCCCAGATGCCTGTGCCTGTGCCGATGTCTAGGATTCGTTTCCCGTCCGGGTTGATCGGCGCGAGGAAGAGTCTGTTGTTGATGAGTCGGTAGAAGATGTGGTGCACCATGTCTAGTCGGTCTTGTTCGGGCTGGTCGTTGGGAAACGGGTAGTTTCCCAGATGGTGTGCGTGGTAGCGTCGGCCATGCTTGTATTCGTATTTGAGTACGCTGGAGCTGAGTGATGTTGTGGAGGATTCGGTGCCTAGGCTGATTGCGTCGTCTTCATGGTCCACTTCGATGGGGTGATCAGGGGCGATTGAGCCCATTGTTAACTACTTTTGTGTATTCCTTGTGGTCTGGTGTGGTGTGTTGTGTTGTGCTGTGCTGCAAGTGGTCGTCAGATCGAAGAATACCCAGAGAGTACGGGGTAGCAAGAGAAAAGAAAAGGGAAAAGGAAAATTGAGGGTCACGCCACTATAACCCGGAGTTTTATATCTTCACATGGTGGATTGGACGGAGCTACGGTTGGACTAGTTAAAAAGCAGCAACTACGGAGTACTTTAGTTCTGATTCGCATGTTCGGCGGAAGCCGAGGCCGGCTGTTTCTCGCTAACGAAATGCCATGCCTTTAGCGCTTATGCTGGTCCACTTTTAACGGTCGGGTTGCAGTGAGACTAGTGATATAGCGAATCACAGTGGATTCATGGGTGTTGAACGGGTCAATGGCTCCGGAGATGTGCCGGGGTTGGTTTAGATTGATTGCTGGAGGTCCTTGGTTTCGTATTTTGCGCGTGGCAGTTATCTATGTCTGGTCCAGTGGAGATAGTAGTTCTATAACGGGATGGAAGTGATGTTCTTGGCATGGAGTATAGTAGACTAGATGATGTTATCTCAAAGCACTAATCAGTAAACCCAAGACGATGTACCGCATCTATATGGACAGCAGACGGAGGGATATCCCAGCATATTACTATCGATTGATCATTTTCGTATTTTGCAAGCATGAGTTATTAGCTTATCGTAGCCTTCTTTTCAACCATTAGAACTACTAGTATCTCTGCAAGTCTCTCAAAATCATCGATAGTACTGGTATCGTTCGAGGCGCTGACTGGTTGGGACCTCTCATCATTGGTCCTTCCTGCTGCGATTGTAACAGAATCAATTCCTAACTCATGTTCTCCCTATGGAACCCACCCTTAGCAGCTACTAGAGGTCGATAACCACAACCCCCTTGTTCCTTCGAATCGTCCACCCTTTATGCCTGTCCGCTTTCGAGGCCTGCTCAATACCAGCCTCATCGCGTATAACCCTTCCGCAATGCCAACCACTGGCGTAAAGCGCCCAGTACGACCGGTATAGTTGATCCTCAGTAACCAAGGGTAGTCTTTACGTAGGCCCCCGGACGCAGGGTGCACAATACAGAAGGGCCAAAAGGATAGAAGTGGGAACAGCTGGGGGATTGATTTGTTCAATGTCATAGTGGCGAGAGTATTCGTCTACGGCGTCCTTAGGAATCCAGGCGATTGTTTTATCCTATTTGATCTTCGCTCGTTCTTTTTGGGTGAAATCTTCCCATTTCTCTTCCATTTCTCTCAGTCGTCTATTCGAAGGTGCTGAGAAGAGGTTGTGAATCGTGACTTTCGAGTCTGTCACGCTTAGAGCATGTAGCAGTTTTAAGAGAATTTCTCTAATATATCACTCAGATCATTCTCGATCGTCAGTAGCTGGATATTTGATGCTCTTACTATGATCATCACGTTTCGTACACGGTTCCGGCAGACAGACTCCCTGAGTCTGGATCAGCAGGGCATTGATATAGCTGAAGCGATGCATATCAATCTGATGAGCTTGAATCCTGCTATGACGGAACTCAAGTGCACCAAAGGCAAATAGTACAAAGTACCATGTCCGCCTATGTGTTATCTGAAAAAAGAAAAAGCAACAGGTAGAATGTGGCCAACAGTCTAGCAGAGACAATAGTAGTCCCAAAGATAGCAGCACTGACGGAGGGTTCGTAGTCATTCATCTTGTAGTTACTTGACATAATTGAAGCTTCGGATCATTAACGGTTGAGAAAGCAGAAGGCCCAAGGGCACTGACGCAGTGATTGGACGAGCACAGGGTGTATTAAAATTGATATTTGTGTCATCACTACTATATAACCGCATATTAGGTTGGTTCCGCATATGCTTTGCGGCACTCAAAATGGAGCCAATTATCAGGCTCGGGACCTTGACACTAAGGACGTAGTAGTCGGCCGAGGGCAGCTATCCTATTGACATATACGTCTTGCCAGGACCAACTCTGTCATCCAGACGCTACCCGCGACGCATTCGCTACTCTTCACGCTTCCAGATGCAGTTATGGCGACTGGTCGCCAAAATTTGAAGGAAGAGTGGCCTTTCATTTTCGTTAGGTAAAGCAAAGCTATGATCCTGATGCCCGCAGCGTGGAAGGTTTCTCCTGAGTTTCACCCTCTCCTGCATTTCTTTCTCATTCTTGATGTCTTGGACTGCGCCCTATAGCTATTTCTGTATGATTAACGTTGGCGCCGGCCCATGAGCTGTTCCAGCAGTTGGCATAATATGCTTATTAGTTGTGGGCACATTATCCCAGATACTATCCACTTCTGCCACATTCCGTGGTCGTGTACTGAATAATATGAATATATTATTATGATTAGAGTAATTAGGTCCTACTGTATGCATATAGAAGGTCAAGGGCATACAGAAAGAAGATACCATATAGTAAAGCAATATAGCTATGAGATTAAATGCAGAAGATAAGTGGAAGATGATCCAAAGCCCCTTAAATACCAGCAGGGTAGTCAAGGTCGGATTGAAAATTGGAATTGGATTTTATACCAAGTGAATCTCCGAAACATTCGCTAAATAGCTGCAGGTCGACGTTTCGCAGTCCTTGCAGTGAAGAGTTGGAAAGCTTGGAGCTATTCAGGCAGGACAGTGGGTTACTTCACTAGATTTCGGCTGCCCTTCCTCATTCATGGCTTCGCTAGAGGAATCCTTCCTCAACAGGATGTTGGTGTGAATAATGCAGTACTGCCGGCCTGTCGACACCATTGTAGATGCGAGCGTATGCTGGTCCCAGTATACCATTGTACTTGTCTCATGTGCGATCCAACCCCTCTTAACCCTCGCTTACTGTAACTAACACTATCAAAGTCAATGTAACATGGCTCACCGTTGTTTGCATTGTGGAGTAGTCTCAAGCTTTTATGCCGCTTGTATCCCTCCATGTGTACCCGTTTCCAGAAGGAGCACAACTGCCAACAGCCTTCGACCAGCCAATAAAACTCAACTAACCATCTCGCAGTATCACAAGCTTTCAGACAGCTCCGGTAGTGATGGGAATCAAACAGGGGCCATGCCTTCTTGTTATTCTAGTGTAACCTGTCTGACAATATGAACATTAACTCGACATGGCAGAGGCGTCAGCGAAAGTGGGGAAAGGAAGTAAGTATGGATAACAGTGAGAAATTATGGAACTCTAGCAGGTTGTATGAGATCCTCAACCTTGGACAATAAAGTACAACCAGTGGTATTCCTTTTCGAAGGAAACTGTGCGCTTAGGTATGAAGGCTTAGGAATAGAAATATGGTTCAGGGGGTAAGACTGCTACTACTCTGTGAATACTGTACTACTCTCTGTGAATCCAGTCTAGTATTGTGAAGGAAGAGTGGCGGTGTTACAAATAGTTCTCAGTTTTGTTGCTCTGTGGATCTGTTAGAAACATAACCTTACAGAATGGGTTAGTTCACTTGTCTTCATTGTTGACCAAGCCCCTTATCCTTGCAGCAGGATTCGATCCCTGCTGGTAAAATATGTAACATGTATTCATCGACAAATAGCCTTATCTGACAGCTGTTGATTAGAAAGGTGAGATATTACCTAGTCTTTTTTGATAGTCTACTCTGTAGTGTGTTCGTCGATTCACAGCTAATATTGGCACAGGCAGGGCTATAATTCACGCATAGTAGGCAGAAACACTGTTCATCACTTGGCTAATGGCTTCAATAAACTATAAATGACTTCAAAGGTGCCATTGTAGGTTGTCAGTTTACTTTTCTTGTTGCACTTTCGTTCACAGCCCACGCACATCTGAATCCGGATCCATCTTTGCACAGAATCCTGCAACCGGCAACTTGCGACGATAAGAAAAATGCCAACGTCAAAATATTTCGATCGAATCCCCCCATTTCCTTCTGATATGCCTGTGGTTTCTCTGGCAAAAGTCTCTCTCGAGGCTTTGAAGGACAATAGGGGATCTGAAGTAAAGAAACTATACGAAGCTGTCAAAAATGGGGGTTCTTTCTGCTAGACTTGAAAGAGTCAAGTGAAGGGGCTACCCTGCTGCAAGATGCTGAAAAAAAAATTTTGAATTGACTACAGAGCTCTCTACACTGAATCACGAGACCCTAAAAGCCTACACTTACAAACCCCCAGACTTTATGAGTAACGTGCTTCTCCCGGCTTCCTAGTCTTGCATGTTGATTAGTGAGTAGGTATAAATGTATGGGAAGCTTGAAGACGGACGATGGTGATGTCGACTATATTCACGCCTACTCGCTCAGTTAAGATGAAGTGCTAGGGATTTCCAGTCATTCACGCCTTCACCCCGATGTGATTAGCATCAGTCAGGAGCAGATCAGACAATTTATCGAACACGCCCATGCCGTGCTAGATGAGGTTTTGGCTAAATTGGACACTTGTCTAGGCATCGAATCCCAGACACTAGAAGCATTGAGTCCGCTGGATCAAGAATCTGACGGTATCGTTCGCCTGCTCTGGAGCCCAGCCCAAACCAATCCCAATTACGATCGCATTTTATTCGGTGGTCATACTGATATGGGAACAATGACGCTTCTGTTCAACATCGCAGGCGGGCTTCAGGTTCTCCCCGCAGGGTGTGAGAATTGCAAAGAAAATTGGCGTTACATAAAGCCTGAGCCCGGATGTGCTGTGGTAAATGTCGGCGACACATTGGTAGAGTGGACTGGGGGCCTCCTGCGCAGCTCTCTGCACCGGGTAGTGACAGCTCCAGGGGACCAGGCAATGGTGCAGCGGCACAGTGTGGCCTATTTGGTACGTGCTAAGCGAAATGCGTCACTTCAGCGCCTTAAAGGAGGCACCATCCCGCCACTGGCACCTGGAGAAGAGGATGAAACGCGCTCGGTAGATGAATGGAACGAATGGAAGTCTCGGCAAATTGTCCTGGGCCAGTTGAAGCCTGAGACGCGAGGCGGACGCAACATGTAATGCTATCCCCTCTCCACCCCCAAGCTCGAATTATCTCAGTTATTGGCATAGACCTCTTGCCTCTCAACATCGGTTTCCACGCAGGCCACTTTGCAGGACTGAAATTTCTGCTTGCAGTGAGCTGAATGGGATAGGATACATAATGTGCACAAGGACCTAACAACCATGGCAAATAATTGGAAAGGATTGTTTTCAAAATAGAAGCAAGGCTTGTTGGAATATGCAGTTACGCTTGTTCAACCAGAATGTAGACGAATGATGCAGTCACGGACAGGGGACATTGGTCCAACATTAACAAAGAGGAGAGTAAGAAAGAAGGATAGCTGACAGTAAATGGACAATATGAAGGTAATACAAGCGAAATATAATCGTTCGGGGTATATTAGAGATTAGCTACCCCGATGACACCACCCACCACACCACCTGCTATAGCACCAGTGTTGGTATGTGATGAGCTGTCTGAATTTGGAGCCGAGGTGGCGGATGACGTTGTCGTTGCTGTAGCGTTCAAAGTAGATGTCGATGTCGGCGTCGACGTTGCACTTGCAGTTGAGGTAGCTAGCAGTCAGCAAACGTCAGCATTGTTCGTCAATACCACGGTTGAATAAACAATACCGTAACTGATCAATTTGAGTGCGCTATAACTGGCATTTCCCGGGGAGTCGGAGTCCAAACAGCCCACCCAATCCGTCCCCTTCAGCATGAAGCCGCTCTGATCTTCGGAACAGCAGAAATACCCAGTGTAGTTATACATACTCCAGGTGCTGTTAGCACATGCCGGCGGATCAATGTCGGCCGTACAGTCAGTCCAGCTCGGGCAGCAGACATTGTTTGCGACCGAATACCGCGAGCCGGGACAGTAGGACCCGTGGGGACAGCAGGCGTGCCAGTCATCCCATGTCTTGCCGCACCCTACTTCATCACTGAGACAGGAATTGTTCCGACGAATGGCGTAACCTTCCATGTCGGTCGTCATGATAGTCAAGGTAAAATGCAGATATTCAGAAGCTCATCAACCAAGGCTGTGCACTTTTCCAGGCGGGAAGTCTGAAGAAAGTCGGAGACGGGGAGAGCAGGCTGACAGCCCCCAATGCGCAGAACCTTTTCGTTAGGCTCATGTCGCTTATTCAGCCCGTGTTTTGAAACCCATTGCCTGCCGCATTGCGATTCTGGGGCGTTAGGGTGGTTAGTTAGATTAAGATCAACTGGCTTAGCGCAGGGCACGAACCGTGTGGATGTCCCCTACCTCAAACGTACAGTTGTTGCCGATCAGGGTCCGCAGTAAGAACTGGTGTAGCAACGGTGTAGCAACCGCCAGCTGATACATGTGAGAAAAGCAGAGTCCCGACATAATGGTATAGGGGCATTTGGACCAATCCTAGCTCAGCATGCTTGAAGACGAGGCAAACGGATGAATGTTGGCATTGCAGAGGTAGGCGGGGGGCTGGAACAACTAGTGGAGAAAGGGACCGCAGGAGCACAAGCGGAATCGGTCACCTGATCTTGCATGATGACATGTCCGACCACGCCTGCACCTGTCAAGCCGTTGTCGGCATCACGTCAACCAACTGATAAGGGTTTGAAGTAAGAGGTTCGTTGATTGACCACGTTACGATATATACCACCGCCATAACACTCGGTAAATCACCACGCCACTGCCGGGAGTTTGGGGAATGAGGATATGTGACTGGCGAGAAGTGGGGACCGCATCCGGAGCGGGAGACGGCCCGTGCAGCGAACCATGGGTAGTCCAACCGCGGATCGGAACATCCGTAGTCTCCTCCGGCTTTGGATTTTTTTCTTGTCAACACTTTCTAAAGGTGGCGAGCAAAGGTTGCCTGCTACCAGCGTGGCTCTGGTTTGGGTTAATTCTTATCGTGTGTATAACCGGCTTCTCATGGTGAAGATAGATGCGCTTCCTCCGGGGAAAGAAGGGTGCGCTACTCTCAATATTAGATCAGTGGAAGAGGCGGGGAACAGGAGGGTGACTGTCAGTAGCAGTGTCGCTTGAGGATAATAGCCACAGAGAAAGGAGAAGCATCAAGCAACAGGAAAAGTTGCGAGGATCTGGAGGATGGAGGAAGGGGCTGGATGTTGGTGGAACTGATCGCAAGTGGCCTTTTTTTTTTTTTTTTTTTTTTTTTGCTAACGCCGGACGGACTACTCTGAGACGGAAACATGTCCATCACGAAGCATGACGTTGACAAAGGCCTTTCTTCACAGGTTTAGGCAGTCCCAGGATAGAGACGTGCTATATCTTCGGGTACACACCCCATAGGGCAGATGCTGTTTTTGCGCTCCCAATCCCAGATCTTGTCAAATCTCTTACATCGACGGGGCGCATCTCGCGGTTTCCAAGCCCCCAACCCGGTTCCCGAAATGACATTCCCGGTGTCCTTTTGAAAGAGTACTGGGGTGACATCGGCCATACACTTGATCAAGTTCATCAGCATGACACTACAGTGGCGAGAATGAATCTGCATGAATTCTTCCGTCTTATTGATGGCTGTGCGGTAATCCCATTCATTCCGATGCACAAAGAACCAAAGTACGCCAACGCAGTGGACCTGATGCATTGCTGCTATGCAGTCAGAACCTATCTAAAGCGTAATGAGCATGAAAGGGGGGGTTGCAGGCGACACCGACCTTCAGACATTGCGATCACTTCTTGCTCACGCGGTGGAGGCAGACTCCACCACTCGCGTTCCTCTGTTGATTTGTTTATGGCGGGCAATTTGTCGTACGGAAAGCTAAATCGTCCGGCTTTGATACCGTTAATTGATAGACACAATTCAAATTTCGTACTTGCTAGGCTGAAGGCTGGAACCAAACTTACTTTTCCACAGTGTATCCCACGCGTCCCGACGGCTCTGGGTAGGTACGCCCACGAAATCGTGAGAGATTAAATCTGAATCATACTGTCGCGATTCGTACTGCAAAAAGTCCGATTCCGGGCCTGAGTTTCCCGTCAGCTGGCATTCATCCTAGTGGGATGCGAGTAGCTTACTGTAAGCCCACATTCGTCGTTGACATGAAGAGTCTGTTGCTGCGTAGGAGTGTCGAACGGCGTAGAACAGCACCGAGAAGATGAAGGACACGACACCGACAAGTAGAACTACAAAAGAATAGCTTGAGACACGAGTAGTTGGTATCCCATCATGCGCCCGCTGATTCTCGGCGTTCTCGTCCAGCAGAGGAATAATGCCCTCTTCCTCTGTGCTCAAAGAATTGCTTGTGGCATCATGGGTTTCCTCGTCCTTTTCGGGCGTCAGGGTGTTATACTTGAACATTTGAACGACTTTGTCTGAGAGCGATTCAATCTACCCAGTACCGAGGTGAAGAATCATTCCAGTAGAATAGACGAAGAGAGAACTGCATGCTAAGTGTCAGGGCTACAACAGAACAGGCCAAAGGCTCAAGGTACTTGCAGTGGGTGCTGGCGTCAGCAGGACATTTTAGTGTGGACATGACACGGGCGACCTGGTAAGCCTTCGAGATCGCCCCTGTCAGCACACAAACACTTCATGGAAGCTTCCCGAGACGCTCCCAGAACGTGCCCGCCTCGACATCGCTTCACTACATTTCAGTGTCTTACTATCATGAACTACGATTGAATGGTCAAGTTGCAGGCCAGCCAGCAATATTGATGTCCCACGACAGAACCAATCATGTTCATCCAAGGCTGCAAAAATATTCAATTTCTCTGTTCATTGCTGGCTTGTGCTCTTTTACTTGTCTGTGCCGCTCTGATCGTCTTGAAGGCTTTGCATATTGAGCCAAGTGAGGCGAGCTGTGACAAGCTCACCTACCCTTGGTCGCCGGCGCTGGATATTATCAAGTACCACTGGGAAACGTTCGAAAACCACCAATTTTCCATAAAGACTTCATATTTTAGCTTCCGCCCAACTCAAGAGATTGAGGATGCGTGGAATGAGTTACTTCCACGTGCGTTTGATTCTCTGCCCTGTCACCTGGCTCATCCTCCAGTTCCCCGGAGAAAGACCAGCGTGCAAAAAAAAAAAAAAAAAAAAAAAAAAAAAAAAAAAAAAAAAAAAAAAAAAAAAAAAAAAAAAAAAAAGAAGAAAGAAAAGAAAAGAAAAGAAAACAAAGGGACATAGCTGATATCAATTTCAGAGCACCCAATTTCGATCCCTGCAGACCGGCTGCAGAGCCTTGGACAGTTAGATTCAGCAGATGATCCTGCCTGGGTTCGGGACCCCGGTGATGCGAGTGCTATCCTTGCACTCCCTGAGTATGCTGTGCAGTTAGGCTGCTTAAATTTTCTCCGGCAGCTCGGCTATCGTTCTGACGACAACTTCACTCATCTCCCCTCGTTTCAAGGTGAGAATTCCCTGGTATGGGATAGAGCATACCAGTGTATCGAGCGACTGCGTCATGCTATCATGGTAAGGACTTCCAACGCCTGGATTTGGACCATTGGCTAACTTCGTACCAATCGCCAGTGTTGGGGTGATGTCGGAGCCGTCACTCTTTATTATAACGGCGAAACAACCTCTGAGACGGAGCTATTTAGAGATGTGTCATTTGACTTTGGAACACTTCATTATTGTCGGAATTTCGACAGCATAAACCAGTGGACGAAAGAAAATGGCGTGGGGGCCGCCACAATGAACAATTTGTGGTGGGGAGGTTCCTATGGTATCTAGCACACCGTAACACTGCAGGTGTACATGTTAAGACAAGATTATAAAGAAGCGTTACTTAGATTTCTAGAGTAAAAATCGAGTAGAAGATGGTGGGGTCTGTGTAGAGCAGAGAACCATTTCTGATTCATATCTAGCAGCTACCCACACGATAGAGAAGCCTCACTTCAACGTCATTGTCTACAGATGGTCGGGCTTACAAGCCGCGACACAAGATCAAACCAGGTCAGGAGATGTGGAGCTTGGCCACAAGCTCCTCGTTGAGCTTTTTCTCTTCAGCCTGATAAACACCAAACTTCCCTCCATCCATCGTGTCCACGAGCCGATGGATTTCGGCCACCAGGGCTTCGGCTTCCGAGCGCCTTGATAGTCCCTGCCCCCACAAGGCTTGGGCGATGATCCGGCGAGCGTTGATGGCTTGTGGAGAAGATGGTCCCAAGTGCGGCCGTGAATCCATCCATGCGCAAACCGGCCTTTCAGTTTCCTCTGCCTCCTGGTACTTCCCAATCTTCACCAGGTGGTCCGCGAGCATGTGCGGTGGCACCACATTTGATTCGTCGGGCCTCTTTTCCACCAGCATCCGAACGGTCTGTTCGGCCTCGGGAAGGTCCAATTTATCTTGAAGACAATAGATCCCCTGCCACAACTGGTACCAGCGCAGGTAATCGGTTGTGTAGAGAGACTGCGGAGGCGACGTAGCTGCCTCCTCCTGCTCTAGTTTCTCTTGGAGCAGCCGTAGGAGGAGCTGCAGCTTGATTCGGTGGTCATCGGAACTTGCCTCGTCAATGGGCAGCTGTGTAAGCTCGGCATCGGAGAAATTGGCCAGAAAGTTACGAGCGACGGAGTATTCAAAGCTATCCCAGAATGTATTGACAGGCACCGGGGCCTCCCATGAGAATGCCTTAGCGGTCTCGGATGTCGCAACGGCCCCAGTGGAGTAGCGGAATAATGATGAAACCGCAGCAGCCATATTTCAATGCAAGGATGGAGGTGTAAATACCTCGTGTTCGTGGTATGTAAAGATAATATGCAGAGACAGTGTAGCGATTTGGGTTGCTATCAGATTGCGGGGTTGGGACTCAAATCTGTTGATTTATGTGTATCTGGTGGTCCAATGAGAACATCGCAAAATGACGCACTGTGTGCTGACAAGGCTAACCCAAAGGAGTGAAATACAGTACGGGCCTGATCCGAGCTTTTTTTTTCACTTGATTTGACTTGAGTCCAGTTGTGATCGGTTGGCTTTCTCTCTCTCTCTCTCTCTGTGTGTGTGTACACCAACGTTGTGGATATCTCGATATGGAACCGTCATATCAACTTGTTGCAGGGGATGAGCCGAATGCCAATTCGCGAAAGCGCCCATTCCAAAACCCTAACTTGACGACTTCAACCAGTTACAAGATCACCTCGGCACTTCAGTATTTTCATCCATTTGCTTTTTTTAGCCTACTTGGAATATGTTTGTTGGAAGCCTCGACAATTCTCTTTCTAGTGAGATCGTACTCGGATGCGTCCCAGCCTTGGCCAGCATCCCCCGTTCCGCCGAGTAAGTGTGAGAATTCACTTTCGTTGCCTCGCCCGGAACTGATTCCTATCATCAGTACCATGGATTTCCCGCAACTTCACCCGAACTGCCACCATGACTAACCTGACGAGCGTTGCTGAAGTGGAGGCTGCCTGGGGTGCCTACGGTATGCGTTCATTTATTATTACCTGTTACATCATTCTATATCTCGCACCCTCCCTGAATCTAATGGCACAACGGCACCAGAAACGACGGCATTTGTGCATGTGCAAAGGCCAGAGCTATATTCCTTACCACCGAATAAAGATGTCCTGGCAGGGACGGCGAATGTCTACATGCTTAGCGTGCATCACCAACTGCATTGTCTGAAACAGCTTCACGTGGCGACTCTACATTTTCCGGGTGGAAATGGACAACAGAATCACGCGGAGGACTCGGAGTCGGTACGCCACATGGAGCATTGCGTTGATTATCTGCGGCAAGCGATCCTCTGCGCCGGGGATGCAACACTCGAGGGCCCAGATCCAGGGAAAAGAACTCTAAGTGGATATGGAACTACACATCAATGCCGCAAGTGGGATGGGTTGAATGGACTGGAGACCTGGAGATTGTTGAACAGTCCCCAGAACCCATAGTGTAGAATTAAGCCTGATGTCTTGCAGTGGTACCCTCCCATGACTTTCTATCTGATTGATACATGCAACATTTCAACCCCAACGTAAATGCATAAAATCAAGGCACGCGAGAAAGGGCAAATCAAAAAGGGTGATATAACCTGGACGGCATATACACAAAGGTGAACCCACAGAGGAAAGCCACAAAGGACAGAGACCAGTCTGAAATTTATAACAGATCATCAGTAATGGTATCATGTGCCGGAAGTACCTTTGTGCGTTTCTACGTGATCTCCGACTTGGAGGAGATGCAAATAATTTTGTCAGGAGGCGAAAAGACCAAAGAAGATACGACCAACGAAAATCGTTCAACTACCACCCTGTTATATTGATGCCTGCAGCTTCTAATCGCCTCGCAAAGATGGTAGGTAACAGGCGCATCCGGATTCCCAATGTTCCGACCCCCTTCCACTCCAGATCCCCACTTAATCTCTTGTTCAAATCATGAGGTCCGTGACCATAGGCTCCCCAATCCTTCTTCCGCAAACATCTGCAAGGCAGACCAGTCAATGGTGACTAGATTGAGCACTCATGGAGTGCACCAAGACGAGTAGAGGGCGGCGGAAATCTCATCCACATCGATCTCCGTGAGCTCTCGCTTGTGCTTGACAGTGTTCACGGCGGACCGAACTGCGACGTTGATTTCGTCGCGCTTGGCGGTGCCACAGCGTTTCTCCAACACAGTGGAGTCATCGGCTAGCAATTCTTAGTTTATATAATCGGAATCTCGATACCTATCGGGTGGGATCATACCAACGGGCAGTGCGAGAACAGTGGCAATGGCCAGGGTAAGAACGGCAGCGATCTTCATTGTGGATTGTACGGTTATCAAGATATATAGAGTCTGAGACCGTGAATGATACTTCAAGACAGAACTCAGTTTGTTCGATGCAATGCGAATGATAGTTCCCTTGGTAGGCGAGGGAGAACACGATTATATGGATAGACCTCTCACAGCAGATAGGATTACGACTGTCAGCACACATCAAGTGGCTGCTGTCAGAACACGGATGACAGGCGCCATGTTCAGGAATGTGCTGACCTGCGGGCATGCGAGTCTTTGGCATCCACGAGAACCCACAAACTTCCCTGCTGATTGCGCCCTGAAGGCTTCTCCCCTTTCAACTCGTCTTCCGTACTCTGCCATGATGCCCGAGCGATCATCCACAGAGACCTCTATCGATTCCATCCGTCACCATGAAAAGGAAAGCCTCATCGAATCTTACTATACCAAACAACCGCCACGATTTAGAATATACTCGAGAGCTCATATTGTCACCCTCTATGTGTCCAACGCCATTCTATTACTGATTATCGCCGCATTGGTTGGAAGTCTATCGCATCGACCTTTCCAGGATCCCACCATCGGCGTATACTGTACGTTCTCATATGTTGCTATCATAAACCAATGGTTGACCCAGGTTGCCTCATTCAGCACCTGCCAACGAGGCCATCGAGTATATCAAGCAACACAAATTTCGTGCTGCGCTCTTTGAGAAGACCCCATACATGGGATTTCCGACCGACGAAACGGACCGCCTGTGGCAGGAGCTATATAACTGTAAGTGCTGGCCTTGCTGAGCTCGGGGATGAAAATACCTGACACCGATCAAAGTCGGAATCTCCAAGATTCCAGAACATGAGGCGAGGATGCTTCCCCATCCAACGCTAAAAGTTCCTGGAACCGACGAATATCTCGTACAGCTTGATGTATGGCACGAGCTGCATTGCCTCAACGACTTGCGAATGCTACTATACCCCGAACGGTTTCCAGGGCTGGCGGGCGTGACGAATGACAAAGGTGTCATCGACCGTGAAAGCATCGAATTCCGTCATTGGGGTGAGAGTCATCCCCTACAAGCGTTTGCGGAAACATTTTTGACCACTAGCTAATTATCTATTGCTAGATCACTGTGTTGACTCCATCAGGGAAACCCTCATGTGCCACGCAGACGTTGCTCCAATTCCCTTCCGGGTCAACTTCCCAGCAAGTAAGGTCATTGTGCCACGATTGGCAACCACGCATACCTGTCGAAACTTTACCAAGATCCAGGAATGGGCCAAGGAACACAAGGCCAGCTACTGGAATTACAATGTCACCGCGGAGCAAGCGGAAGAGATTATGCGGGAATCGGGATTTGACAATGCGCCGTGGGAGAGCATTGATGACCAGTATATGGAATTTCCGGGCAATACATTCTTCACATACTGGCGGGAGCATCCCGAGGAAGCAAAGGCCGCTAGGGAAAAGACCGCAGCAAGTGGTCTGTAAGAAGGAAGCTGTTCAATATATTGGAGTGTTTCTCTGTGGAGGTACTTTCCTTTTGATGATAGACGGGGTGATCATGGATCTTTCCTGTATTTACCCGATTTGTCTTTGCTTCATATAGTTCCATGTCCTAGGATGCGTAATATTGGCCGTCGCCATCAAAGAAGTTTGTTGCGCTTTCCATCTCATAATAGATATCGAACAGTAGATGTATTGTCCAAGCGGTGGGTGATATTCTACTTATGTATGTGAAATCCATGCTCATCAAACACAGCCCTCATCTATGTGTTCGAATACTGAGATACATAGGGCGTGGTTAATGCCGTCGCATGTGTTCCTCCCAGCTGGAGGTCAACGCACCGAATCCATAATCATACGCAAGGTATCTCCTTCCCCTAATCGTCTCTGCAAAACTAACGGATTTTTTTCGCTGAGTATCATAGCTTGTTGGACCTCGTCAAAATTTCTACACCGATGCACAACGCCGTCGCCATTGATAATTCGAGCCTTTTCACCCGTGGGTAACTCAGCGACAAAGGATGGCTCGATGGTGTCATCTGCTGCGCACATAATCGCCTTGTGAAGGGCAGATTTCAGCACAAGATATGCAAGTGCGTAATATGTGATAGTATCTTACCTGCTCGAGATACTGAAGGCAATGCTCTAAATGATCCTCGCCCTCGCCCTCGCCCTCCCCTCTTCTCTCCCAGTACCTTGTATGGTGCGACTCGTGCTTAAGGGCCATCTTCAGGCTTTCTAGACAGTGCAGTTGATGAAACATCGACACCCCGTAGTGCTTTGTCTTCCCACCGGCCTCGTGTATCTGAACGAACCCAGTACTACTGCTGTCCATCCATTTGGCAGAGAAGGGATCCGGAGACGCCACCTCTGATTCAGATCGATGATAGGAAAATGTCTCTAAATAGGGACCAAGAGCTCCTGAATCGCATGATATATGTGATACCCTTAGCCATGGAATCCAAAAGTCGGCACCGTTGTTCATGCGGAGAAAGGATACCGCAAGGACTCCCAGGAACGTGACAGTGAGGCCAAGCAGGAGCCAAAAGTGATAACTGTGTCTTTTGCCGTCCATCATCCTACCTGTTCCAGGGTAACGCTGGTTAGAATTAGGATGTAGAGTTGGGAACGAAGGTCTCATTGCACATGTTGTGTGCCAATCGTCTGGCAAAATGTCATGCTGACATGCTGGGTGGTGTGCTGACAGTCATACCAGCCAGACCCACAAGTCACTGTCATCATTCAATTAGCCTATCTTCACAAAGACATCTGAGTAAGAACTCTCGGCCGTGTGAGGTCTGAAAATGTGTTGGGGGGGGGGGGAGGGGTTGTTGTGGTCTGAAGCACATTGTAGTCGTACACAGCCCCATCACCTACAGAACATCACCATAAATCCCAAAGACACATAATGGCCGAAGGAAAGTCACTGCGTACTAGATTGCAGTCATGGATTGCCACAAGGGCTGCTCCTATTTTCCGAGCCACTGTGCATTCGTACACAACTCTGCCAAATTCCGGTGAAGTTCATCATCTGGTTTCCGAAAAAGACGGGATTGTTGAATGCAACTGTGAGGGGGATGTCTTTGCTCCAGACTCCAACAACACACGACGTTTGCTTGATCCGGTACGCCTTCTATGGCTCAACCTGGGATTCTTCCTGATATCAAGCCTAATGTTCACGCTATCCCTATCGCCGTCTCCCCCACTGTACAAGGAGCGCGGAGAGGATACACAGCGAAACTACTGCCTTCAACAGGTCTCCATGCCGTGTGAGTAGAACTTCGTCACCAGCCACTCCTAGCCAGTGTTCCCTAATGCACCAGAAAACTCATAGCCCCGATCCTGGACGAAGTGGACATACGGGTCGCACCGCAGCGGATGGACGCCACCCTCCTCAACAGGGATCCCCCCACCATCTACCGCCAGGAACCCAGCATCGAAATCGATCGCGCCTGGGCCGCCTTGTATGATACCCGACCAATTGCGCTGACTCGCAGCCAGGTCCTGGCGATGGGCAAGGATCCGGCGGAGGCCGTCCGCATCCCGCCCAGCTGGGGTCGCGGCAACGACAGCTACTTCGGCCGCATCGACGCCTTCCATCAAATGCATTGTCTCGATGCCCTGCGGCGCGAGGCATACTTCGGCCACTACTACGGCGCCAAATACCCCGGCGGTCTCAATACCACCTCCGAGATGCATCGGCTGCACCTGTCGCACTGCGTGTGGCTCCTGGCCCAGAATATCATGTGCTCGGCCAACACAGATGTCTACACGCATATCTGGACCGATACCCTGGACCATGCATGGCCGGACTTCAACATTCAACACCAGTGCAAGAGTTACGACACCATCTTGGATTGGCAGCGGCGGAATGCCTTGGATGAGGACGACTTTGTCGCCCTTAGACGGCCGGACGGATACCCCTACCGTGTGATGACGCATAAGTTCAAGGAGATTCACGGATGGTTTCTTGACCACGAGGATGTCGGTGACTACGAATCCGGGGAGATTGCTTGACAGGTACCCTCTGGAAATGCTTCATGGGTGTTTGTAAAAAGGACTGGATTGACTGCGTTGAGTTCGGGGATCAAGCATCTTTCGTCCCTACATCAGTGGGGATTTAATAAAGCCCATGGGAGTGTGTTACAAGCAACAGCGGTAGTACTAGTCCTAGCATTCATGAGTCCACTATCACCGGCTCTGCTATATAAGTCATCCTCTGCGGATATACATGTAGACTACTCTACTCTTTATCATCCTCTCCTGATCCGTTAATTTTACCGTTGCACGGTTACTTCTTGTTGGGGGGGGGGCGGGTTTCTTACTAGTATATGCCCCGGTTGTACTTATCCCTATTAGTCTCTGCTGAACATTAAAGATACTGTAACAAAAGAACAACTCTCTGAGCCTAGAAAAATAGCATCTAGGTGCTGAACAGTCTCTACTATACAATCATAAACGTTAATTCTACCCACGTCCTCAATATTGACAGTCTGAAAACATTGCCCCATTCTAACTAGATAATATGATGATGATGATTGCCTTATACTCGACTAGCGCGCCCTTTCAGAGGGCCCTTTCTCAGTCTAACTACTAGTTATTATGACTTTGTATTTCTTTCAAAACCTCCATTATATATTATACTTATTCTCAATACCCAATCAGTCTTTTTTTTTTTTTTTTTTTTTTTTTTTTTTTTTTCCGTAGTATGAAGGTTTGTGTGGTGAGGTCCTAGTACCACTACGCCATCTGCCGCCGTTGAATATATAGTACTAGCTTCTGTAGCAGCGAAGTCATCGTAGTTCACTAACTTACTCTCTTTGGCTTGTTGGTAGTCAGAAAGATGTCAATGTGAAATTCACGGTGCGTCTTTGCCTACATAAGGAACTGGAGTTTCTATTGTAGCTAGTCATGAAAAGCCATTCATCTCAATCTGATTAGATATTTGCAAGTCAATATCACGATGTCCATTGTGCTTCCTCTCGGGCTATAGGAAAGTATATCGTTCCCAAAGAAACATAGAAGCGCATTCAGCCTGAAGGATCCTCACACGAAGATATCACGCTCCCTCACGTATATAGTTTGGGATATCGATGGGGGCATTGAGGTCTGCGCCCTCGTCTGCTAGCAGTCGCACGATCACCTCGGAACCCACATCCACTGCGACATGCAGTGGGCTTTGGCCATGATGATCGCGAGCCCCGATTTCGGCGCCCGCTGCAAGCAACTGCGTGACAATATCAACATGCGCAGCTCGTACCGCATAATGCAATGCAGTACGTCCCCACCCGTCTGCGCAATTGACGTCTACCCCTTGAATAAGGAGAAACTGCACAATTCCAACGTCGCCACGCTCGGCACTTATGTGGAGGGCTGTCTTGCCCTGGCTTTCTGAGCTGTATTTGTGTAGCAGGCTGCCATTGTCCCATATCTCCATCATGGCCGACAGGTTCGTGGGAACGTTCATTCGAACAGTGGGCAGCCCTTCCTTACACTGATGTCGAATCACTCCGCAATTTGTCGCCTGAGCCTTACAGACTCTCTGGCGGACTTCGAATTTTGATCGTGTGGTTCGTATAGCGCTCTCCTGGTGCAGAAGTGGATTGCTGCGGGCTTGAGGGGTGCTGGCGGACGTGGGATTAATAGAGGTTAACTTGGGCGTGCTGCTATCCCGTGGCAGATCCAATTCCGGGTCAAGGAGAAAGGTTGTGATTGAATCATTCATCTTATCATACCCAGTCAACGTGCTTGGGCTCAAATCCAAGCCTCCACCGACATATCCATCTTGATGCCATGACAACTTGTCAGGTGCAATTACCGCTAGGGGTTCAACCGGGGAGTTGTGCATTCCAATAGTTGAATCAACTGACATATCAGACCCCGCTGTTGTATTTGTTTGTTCATCAGTCACACCGTCTCCCACCGTTGGTGGACAGCTTTGACCCGACTTGTTGTCGGCGGCCATAGTCTCCTCATTCCGCCTCTCCTCGGGGCGTTCTTGCTGTTTATTGGCCAAATTTTGCATTCGCAACTGTTCTAGCTCAGCTTGTCGTTTGCCTTCATATCCAGTGTCATTAGTCATTTTGAAAGGGATCGGAATTTCTAAGCCAGAGAATCACAAGCGTGGGACATACGACGGTTTCTCTGTGCAAGACGATTCTGGACTCTCCTACGATGGAGGGCCTCAATTGCCACCTGTGCATCTATTTCTGCATTCATTGTTTCGATGGAATCCGGAAGCCGAAGGACCTAGTGGTTGAGTGCATATAGCTGTTCCCCCTATAACTATAAGAGCCTTCAGTATTTTCCCCGGGAAAGGGGGGAGGGGGTTGATTAATCTACGAACTCACATGTCCCACAAGAACAACCATCGAAGAACAGAGCTCTCGCAGCTCAAGTTCGATGAACTTCTGGATGCATTACGACAAACACGCTTAAATGACCGCATGAGCCACGAAGACCACCTACTATCCTGCCTTATCTGCCTAGGCTATATGTCTCCCCCAATAATGTTTGCTTGAAATCGAGCCTCTATCGCCATCATGCAGTAATGTGACATCGTCTCGCTATTAGCGCTGGCTTCATGCACGCGGAAAGAAACCACGACGGCTGTCACCGACCCAAAATCTTAGTTTCCTGCAGGGCCTGCCGCTCGTGCCATGATCGCTGCCAATGGTAATCACCAACAATATCTCCAGATCCATTCGGACAGGGGTATCGGGGGGCTGACATTCGCATGGACTGTAGGGAACTGAGACAGCGCTAGAACGCAGACGGCATATGAAGCATTCTCCGTCCGGACAGCCGACGGTGTATGTACCTAATGGGTATGAATTCCCTCGTTATGATTTGACTCCAGGGTAAACCCGACTCTGAACCAAAAACTATACCACGGCGGGTATCACACCGATGACCCGCGATCCTTTTGCTGCATCTGCGGGGTAATCCGTAAGCATGTACGGAGTAGGGAATCAGGGACCCGGTTGCCTTTACTCCGAGCCTAACGGAACGCTCGATTTCCGATTATTCAGCCTAGGTGTCAACCGTGAGGATCAATTCAACAAAGCGAAATCCGCTCCTTTTCATGATGGAGGAGAACAAAAGCTAGCTCGGTATCAACCATCAGGGTCGTTACCTTCGAGGTGTGGAGTGTCCAATATTTTCATACTCAATGTGTAAGAGGAAGTTCCGTACCATCGGTCGGTGCATGCTTATTATTGATACCTATCATGATCATATTAAGCTTGGCAAGTAGGTATCAGTAGTAGATAAAGTGCCCAGGCCAGCGGTTCACCGAGCGGGGGAAGATGGCTCAAGCTTGGCCATGCTTGTGAGTGCTTAGCGCCTGTCCGTGCCTCTACCATTCCCCTAGATATCATCCTGTCACTCTTGACCCGTACGGACGTTGTTCCACCAAATGTCTGATAAATAGCCAGGGTGAGTGATGATAGTTCTAACCTAGTGGCCAGGGGTACCGGGAGTAAAACAAATGCTCAGATAAGGATGCCCCACTCTATTGGATGATTGCGGGGGG